TAACTACAGGTCTGCTGCATTCGCTTAGATACTTTATTCTTATTTTTTTTTTTGATTGATTTCGTTTTTGTGATTTCTGATTCATGTGATTGATTTCATTAGGTTTGGAGCGATGCTGCTGGTGTTCTTTTTCACTTCTTCAAAGTTTACCAAGTTTGGAGAAGATAGGAAAAGGAAAATTGATGCTGAATTCAAAGAGGGCGGTCAACGCGATTGGTATTTCTCTGTTTTTGACTCTTCGAATATAGCTCTATCATGAAAATCAATTTATATGTTGTTTTTTGTACTTTAGATCATAATATTATTTTGTTGTAGTAAATGTTTCCTTTTGAAGGGGATTTTTGGAGTAACCGGTAAAGATGCCTCTATGTGACCTCCTTGTTAAGGTTTATGCCGTAGGAATAGCCTGTTGTAGAAATGCAGGATAATGCTGCGGATAATAGATCCTTGCCTCTTGTAGAAATGCAGGATAATGTTGTGTACAATAGATCCTTGTGGTCCAATAGATCCTTGGGCTCTGCACATAGCAAGAGCTTTAGTGTATCGGATTTCCCTCCGGACTATTATTCATTTTTCATACTATCACTACCTATTGTTTGTGTGTCTTATTATCTTGTTGGTTTCTCCGTTTGTTGCTATTGTCACTTTTTCCCCCTTTGCTCCACCAAGGGTCTTTCGGAAACCTCTTTGCCTTCTTAAAGGTAGGGTTAAGGTTTATGTACATTCTACCTGGTCTCAGACCCCACTTGTGAAAACACATCGGGTTTGTTGTTGTTTGTTCTCCACATTTTTTTTTACTTTATATCATGTCACAATCAGTAGATTATTCTCTATCTATCTCTGTTTTTAGCATGTACTCTGGCTTCCTCCCAGCTCTTCAAACCTCTATGATTCTCTGGGAGGAGATGCCTTTGAGACTTGGAAACATTCTCCGTAGTTTCCGAGTGTAATTGCAGGGTAGAAACATATGGTTCACTAGGGATGGCAATGGGGTGGAGCGGTTGTGGGGCGAGGTAGAAGAAGTTTTGTGGGGGCAGGGCGGGTACAAAATATATTTTTTTAAATTCATGCGGGGTGGGTACAAAATATATTTTTTAAAATTCACTCTGGGCGGGGCGGATATACGGGTTGTGAATTTTTCTTTTGAACTTAATTAAAGGTAAGAGTAAAACCTAAAATATTACAACAAAACTACATCAAATGTTAATAGAGATTGACATTTTTCTTTTTTGAGGTTGTAGTTTGTGCAAAAAGTTGGGATTGTTTGGTGAAATAACTAATGTATCAAGGATTTATAAGTAGTTGACAGTACTTTACGCAGTTGAATTTTGCACAACCTGATTCAAAATGGAAATTTGAATTTTGCTTGTCCAATTTCAATTCTGAATTTGTTTCTTTATGAAGTTGCATTTGTTTTTCTATGCAGTAGATTGATAACTGGTATATTTTTAATAAAAAAAATAATAAATTATGCGGGGCGGGTTGTCTGGCACAGGGCGGGGCGAAATCTTTGCGGGTTATGTGGGTTTGCCCCGCACCTGCCCCGCCCCATTTCCCATCCCTATGGTTCACTGTCTCAGATGTTTCCTTACAAAGAAACATCCAGAGCATAAGTTATCCCTCTCTTCATCACATTGTCCTGAGTCAAAGCTGCATCCTGGGTCAATAACCATATGAAACAAGATACTTTGTAAGGTATCCTATTTTTCAAGTTTGCCTCAATGGCCAATTTGGATTATGATGGCTTGGTTTATCTATCATATTTTGAGCTTGTTAAGTATGAATACACCTTTGAAGGTGTCCACATGTTAAGAAATTCAGCAACCTAAACCTCTGCACTTAGAGAAAAGTTTTCTTGATGGTATCTCGTTTCTGGATCAAAACCTCCATATGAGTTTTCTATTTATTCTATGAAGATTGCTTATCCTTTCTTCTTTTTATATTTTAGTTTTTGCTTTTTAAGACCCAAGGAAATGATATTTAACCTCAAATGAATGTGTTCTATGTGATGCAAGTAGCACTTCACATGAATTTGTTGTATGTGATACACGTATATATCTGTTCTCTTTTTTCCCATACAGTTTCATGTAAAAAAAACGCATGAAAGATTTTGATTCTGTTCTGTTCATTATCCTGTTTAAGATGCTAAATGATCAAATGACTGTAGCAGAACATAAGTTCTCTGTTTGTGGTTGTGAAAGATCAATAGATCTGGATATTAACTCTTTAAAGAATTACCTGATGAAGGATAATTGGGAGATTAAGATGGTGAACCTGTGCCTCAAAATCAACTTGCTTTAATTCTACACGCTGATCTGTTGCTATTATGCTCTCTTTGCATCTCCGTAATTTTGATGACAATTTTGAAATCCTGTTTTCTAAAGTTAAGGTCTATGTCTTGGGATTATATGAAATCAAAATCTTAATTTTCACTGTTCCATGTGAATTCAAGTTAGTCCTTTCCTCCTATCCTTTTTTTTATTGGCTATTAGAATTTTTGCTTTTTGTTTCATTTCAATGACAGGGTACTTAATCATAAACCTCATCTTCAAAAATTCCGAGTGCTGATGAGCCATGAGGACAGTTATTTGAATGTGAATATTAAGTCATTTTTAGAATTTTTTCACATTAGGACATTATGTGATCTGTGATTAAAACCAATATTTTCTACCAATTTCATCATTTCTCGCAAGCTTTCGATAAAACCAATACTTTCAACCAATTTCGGCATTTGTTGCAAACTTTCCAGAATGGCTCTTTGTAGCCCTTATATTTGTCAAAAAGTGATTTTATCCTGACATCATAAATTTACAACTTCACCCAGTCATTATGGATATGAATAGAGGCAAAGAATTTTTTCTGGAGGTACAACATGTGTTGGATATGTTTGTTTTACCATTGTGACGCTTTATTCAAGATGGTTGTAATTTCCGCAGAACATAGTTTGTAAGTTGTGATTGGACACCACAGTAACCTTGTAGAAATGCCACAAGTAATGTGAGAGAGGTCTTAGCTTTCCTTATTAGTATTTCGATTTGTGTTTACAGGATTCAAGTCCTTTTCAATGGTGGCATCGCAACCCTTTTGGTTCTGACTGTATGGACAGTGACTGGATCAGAGGACAAATGTCTGGATTCAAAAGAGTCACACATGATAACATCTTTAATTGGTGGTATCATTGGTCAGTACTGCTGCTGCAATGGGGACACATGGTCTTCAGAGCTTGGGATACTTAGTAATGAGGAGCCTCGACTAATTACAAACTTCAAGGTGTGAATTCATAGCTTTGACATCCGCTAAATCCTTAGTTTTTCATTTATTCTGACACCTCATACATAGAAGAAAACACTGTAGAATGTCTTTTATCTTTAGTGTTTGTTAGGAATCAAATAAACTGATAAAAATTTCCCTTTATCTATTTCATGCTTACGAATTTCAATTAGTTTATTGAGAATCAAGTATGAGCTAATCTCATAATAAGCCGAGTTCTTCTCTACTTAAGCTTGGAAACATGATAACTTCCTTAAGATTTTATGATAATCAATTTATTATTCTTTATCTCGACCCTTTTTGAACTATTATCTGACGGTTCAAGATTAAGAGATTATGTTTCTCATTTCTCCTTTTTACTTAAAATCAGCCAGTTCGAAGGGGTACAAATGGTGGAGTGACAAAAGCAGGACTCTTGGCTGCAGCAGCAGCAGGCACTGTCATTGGATTGACATTTGTAGTCCTGGGATTTTTCACTACAAAGTGCACATCTGATGTGACTGTAAAGCAGCTTTTTGTCATACCACTTTCTGCATTGGCTGGACTATGTGGAAGTGTTATCGATTCTTTGTTGGGAGCAACACTACAATTCAGTGGATTCTGTTCTGTTCGGAAGAAGGTCAGCCATAGTTTATCTTTTAAAAGAACTAAGTTGATTTGTTTACGCAAGAAATAGTACAAAGTAACTGATCACCCCCCCCCTTCTCTGTAAAAGAAAAATGAAAAAGTAGAAGACTACTGTCAATCTGTTTCCTAAAACCATAAAAGCAATCCATGCCATGTTTGTGTAAGATGGTTCTCGTCCAGATCTGAGTTTCCATGGCTATAATTTTATCGGTATTTGAGAAGCTCTTGAAGTTATGTAAATATTCTTTGTGCTCTGATATCCAATCAAACTATTCTTTTAGCAATTGAATGGAATTTGGTAAAAATACAAGCAGTTTCTTTTGCATACTAAACTAAAGGTCTTTATAACTTAACCAAAAGAAGAGATAAAGCCAGTCTACTTGTATGTTCAGGAACCTATCATTTTTCTAAAATTTTGATTACACAGCTGTTCTCTTTGGTTGAATGTTTCTGTTGAGTTTACATGGTATGTTATATTTAAAGCAAAGACATACCTGCAGAAAAGATATAGAGAAAAAAAGGATATTGAGTTCATTGTGCAAACGAGCAAATGAGTAACAAAAAGAAAACTACGATTTAGAGTTTGGACACTTGATATTCTTCTTCCATGTAGGTTATTGATGGTTCATACTTCATGATATCTTACCTTGCAGGTGGTTGGGAAGCCAGGACCAACTGTGAAGAGAATATCTGGTCTTACTGTCCTTGATAATAATACAGTGAACCTCTTATCAATATTGCTGACAACGGCTATGACCTCCTTTGCCTTCTTATACATTTTCTGAATGTATCCAGCCAGCTCAATTTGAATTCTGTAGTATTTTGTATCATCTTCCAGCAACAATGAGGATTATGTTCATGCTATAAATGCTACTAAGTATCATAATCCCTATCGAGATTAAATGAGAGAATTTTTTCTCAACGCTGCCATTTTGATCTCAAAGTAATCAATTGTATCTTCTTTCTTGTTTTGTTTTTATTTTCGTCATCCCCCTTTATGTCTATAGACATGAAAAAGGTATGTGGAGCTATCCATTAGAAGCAATGGCTACATGCAGGGAAAACAGTCATTGCCATGTAGTTCATAATAGATAGGACGCACAGAAGAACAACAATGTTTTTAAAACTAAACGTTTGGAAATTTATACATTGAAGTGCCACCATGAATTAGAGGACAGGTTCATGATAGCACTTCAATGTATAAACTTTCAAACGTTTAGTTTTAAAAACATTGTTGTTCTTCTGTGCAGTCCTATCTATTGTGAACTCTCTGGCAATGATTGTTTTGCCTGCATGTAGCCGTTGCTTCTAACGGATACCTCCACATACCTTTTGTTTGCTGCTTTTCATGATTTTCAGTTGAGTTTCTTTTTACCCTTTTTGTTGTCATGTTCTCTTCTATCAATATTTTCACATTGTACAAATGAGGCTCTGAGGTTAGTTCTTGGTTATAAGTTGAGAAAAATTCATAGATAGCGATAGTTTTGTCCCTAATTAGGAAACAATAGCGATAGTTTGTGTCTGCACGCAAGTGAAATACACTGTATCTGCGCACTTACTATATCTCTGCCTAACTGAAAATCATGCGGATTCAAGATCAACTAAATACACTTTAGTACTCTTTATAGTCATCCCAAAAATGTCACACATACAACAATACACTTTACATTCACACAACATACACTTGTATGTCACTATATTTTAGTGTATCACTTTCATATTCGTTGTGCAACTGCTTGATTGTCTTCTATTTTAGTGGATATCCTTTGAAGAAGGCAGAAGCATATGCTTCATTAAGAAAGTAAGTTCCATCCATCCTTTGCACTATGTAGTTTCAATGTCAGGCATGCTCGCTTTCTCTTCTGCGGCATTCTCTTTCCTCTGAATATCTACTTTGACATGCATAAATGATCTTTTGATTGACATCGCCAAAGTAATTGCTAGCACTAGAGATTGTAAGAGTCCTGAAAATTTTATTTGCTTATGCAAGATTTTGGTAAATTTTAGGATTTCGTTAGCATGCTTGCAACGATGCTATAATCCAGCCAATGTCTATAAACTTATAAAATCACAAGATTGTCTGTCTGAACATGTATTAACAGCAAGCTTAAAGTTTTTGATGTCACTGATCGTCAATCTCTTTCTTTTTCTTTTTTTTTAATCTTTTGGCTTCTCAAATTTGATAGCAACATATAAAATGCGTTAGGGTAAACTCTATTGTTTGTGATTTATTCTTTTGGCAAGTGATAAATAATTGGCTGGCAGATCTGAAGCATTTGTTAGGAGTTCAAGGATATTAAACAATGCAGGATAGACTTAAACGAAATTAGAAAAATGGAAGTAACGGTCGTTTTGCTTTAACTGTGTTTTTTCTTTTAGTCTTCCTCAATATCTCCTTCAAATCTGGATCTTCCAGAAATTACTATATTGATCTGTTTGGCAATCTTTTCTTCTCAGATGAAGTTTCGGATTTCGTAATAATGCCCACTGTCTGATCATATTACTTTTGTCTAGACAGGGTCCCAAGACCAAGAAGATCTAATGCTGTTGAGTGGTGAAGCTCCAAGGATAAAGATCTCTATCTGATTCCCCCTGTAAATGTTGGAAAGAAATATCCAACACAATTATATAAACCTTTGCCATCGTGGACAACTTATGATGCTATATTATCTCCCGTCTTAGGCCTTTCCTTGTGAATGAATTGGAGCCACAGTACCTTCTTCATGATTGGAGGAAAGTATATGGGTGTCTTGTGATGTTTGTAATCCCTGTGCCAAGTTATGGTTGCCTTCACAGAGAAGTACCTTGCTGGCATTTGGATTATTTTGTTGAAGAATATGACTTTGTTGAAGTCATGGGAACTGCTTTTGGAAACCTTTTGCAGAAAAGCCTACTGTTATGGTTAGTCTCTCTTCCCATGGATGCTCAAATTTTCATATTGTTTGCTCTGGCTGTAAATGTATGTGCATGGCAGGCTGCCAATTCGATGAGAAGATAGAACTCATATTCTCTTAGGGGCCGTTTGATAGCTGGTTAGAGTTACGCACGTATTGATAATGCAGGGAATAGTTATGAGGAAATCTACGTATAATTCTATTAGTTATTCTACCTTCTATCCCGCGTAAAATAATTCGTAAATTCCCTCATAACCTATACATGTATGTGTCATGAGGGTTTCTAAATTGCTAACCAAATACTATATAAATTTTATATATGAATAACTTGTCTCTTTACCAGCTACACCTACCGAACGTGGTAAGTATTACTTGTACAGGATTTAATACAACTGTAACTCACCTCCAACACAGCTATCAAACGATCCCTTAGTTCCTTGATGAGTAACCACTTTGTTGGTATCATAATAGTCGGACAAACAAGATGCCTCTTAGTAAAGATTTCATAGTTGTTAGGTTGTTGATGTCAACATGCTGCTTTAAAAGTTTCAGTATGGTTATTTTGAACAAGGAACTTCCTTTTGATATTGTCTGCTTGTAAAGATGCTGCACTTCTGATATTGTAAAAATACTACTCAGGGATAGGAAAGATCAATTTCTTATTTGCTTTTATGTAGTTGATGCCACGCCTCTCTACCTCCACGAGGTAGTCATAAGGTTTGCATACATTCTACCCTATCCAAATCTTACTTGTGGGATTTCACTGGATATGTTGTTATAGCTGATGCCACCGAATAATTATTTACTATCCTAGTTCCGATGGCAGCCGGGGAATAAAACTGTTTCCTAGTTCCAATGGTAGCCAGGGAATAAAGGAACTGTTTTGAATGCACAATACGTAACGACCATCCTAAACTTGAGTATTTTCTTCAGATCCCCTTTACTATCAGTAGTCAATGTGGTAAAGGCTACCAAATAGCAAAGTTTGGGGGTAATTAAGACTACAGATAGTTTAGGAAGTATTTGAAGAAAACGCGTCAAATTTTAGGAAGGATCTGAAGAAAATGCATCATATAATATGTACCCATGAAATTTAGTCTATAGACATGTTGTCCCCCTCTTATTTCTTTGTTCAAAACAAATGATTTTCTGTTCAAGCCAGAAGTTGTGACTATATATAAATTCCTTCTTTATTTCAAGTGATCTCTAATATTGACCTAACCTAAGTTACTCGTACTCTTCACTTTAGTGTTGCACCCTTGTCGACATAACGGGGTGGGGTGGGGGGAATCCGTGTCTGATCTGGTAAAATTAGTCTTGGTACTCTGACCAAATTCGAGGGAGAAATTTTTGGACAGATTCAATGATTTGTGTGCGGAAAACAAGAATTGAGGTGAAATTGAAGAAAATGAAATACGTTATATATGTAAATTTCTTCTGTAAATTTCTTTTGTAACTCCCTTTCCTTTTATCTCCTTCCAGGATTCTCCTCAAGTTTTCTTCATAAGATCTTGTAACATAGGTTATACAACTCTAGTTTATTATTTGAATTATTTTTAGCCAAATTTTCGCACCCGTAACCATACAGATCCATATCACCGAATCTAAAAATTTATATCGTAGAGGATCTGATCTCTAAATCCGCATTCATATCGGACATCCGCACTAGAGTCCGAGCAAAATTAGGACCTAACTCTAATAAAAATCCAAGGCAAAGTTAGTGAATCAGAATTGATGTAACCATCTGTTTTCTCTACATCAACCTGTGAAGTTAAATTATATTTGTCAATTATCAAGCATATGTTGGTGTCAAATAACTGGTAGGTAAAACCAATAGTCTTTGCTCGTGTGATTTTACGGGGTATGTTGTATTTTAGCAAATTGGAGTTATTTCTGTTCATATTCTAAGTATTAAATAACTATAATAAAGTAATCATGGTCAAATTTAAGCTTTCAAAATATCATTAGTAATATTAATTTAATAAAATACGTCTCTAATTAACCTTTTCTTAAAGGTTATGTCAGATCAACAGGGATCAAATAATATGAAATGAAGGAAGTTCTTGTTTTTATCCTTTTCTCATTCAATGTCCGATCTTGTATCAGGGTTGAATTTGGATGGAAAATTCCACATCAAAAATAAGGGTAAGAAGCAATTTTATCCATCTCTGAATGTACACTAGCTAATCAAGAAAGGGTTGTCCTCCCTCTCAATCAATGCTGTTCTCCCTCTATTTCCTTCTTCCGGTGGTTGAGCGAGTCCGTTCTTCGTCCTTTTCAGACGCCTTTTGTGACAGGTTTACAAGAAACTTTGAGCGGGAGACAGGGGGCGAACCCGCAGGTTCCCCTTGCCCAAGAATTTCGGGTAGAGGAAAATGGGTAGGTTGGTTATATACTCTTATGCGCCTTCCTTCTTCGAACCTTTTGGTATGTATTGCCCCCTAACTATAGATCAGATCCACCAGACTAATCCCTTGAATCCGGTACCAACGGGTATCACCCCCCCCAAAACAACGTTCTCTTTCAGGCCTTTCAACCAATCGATACGACCCCGGACTTTATATTTGGGTTCAAACTCGAAATTGTCGATTAAAGATAAAAAACTTGAATAACTACTCCCTTTCATATTACGAGGCCCATGTTGAAAAGATATTTTAATAAGAGGTGTATTTTACTAAATTAATTTTATTATTGATGTTTTGGAACTTTACATTTGACTATTATTTTATTTGGTTATTTAAACTTTGAGTGTAGTATGGATAGAAGCAATAAATCTCTTGATATTTTAAAAAAATAGGGGAATAAAATGAAATAATTAGTTTTGGCATAGAAGCCAAGTAAAATGTAATGAAGGGAATATAATTTTCATTTTGGTTTCGTTTCATATTACTTGGTTCTATATTAAAAATAGTTATTCAATTTATTTGTCCAATTTGCGAGATCAAAAGAAATTTAATTACTTCGTCACTTCATGTGTTCACTTTTTACTTTGTGGTCTATTTTGGACTTTGCATGTAAATGTAAGGTGGTGCAAAGCAAGTAATTAATGTGAAATCTTTTGATATATTAAAAATGAACAAGTAAAAATGGATGGGTAGAAGTATATTTTTCCATTTCTCCTTTAGCATTAAGTAAAGCATTATTAGTAAAGTTAGTTAGGTACACATTTAATTAAAGTTCTTTTAAAGGGTGTGTCCAATTTTTTGAAAAGATTTGATATTTGATCGAGAATAGGAAATTCTCGAGTGGATTGTTATCCTTAAAATGGATGTGACAGTGCTTGATTTGACGTTCTTGATATCATGTGGTATTATTACCAGATGTGATCTCGTATGTGTGTACTTCTTGAAAACGATCAAAAGAGAGATGATGATCAAGTGAGAGGGTATTTCAGTCAATTAAATTCACACATACTTCCAACATCATGTGCTTCATATAATATAATATAAATATTACTTGTGTCCACATATGGTCATTTTTTTAGTCATTACACAGAGTACCATAAACCTCAAAACTCTTCCATGGCTGACCTCTTTGATCTGAAAAAACACAACCAAATGAACAATGAAGAAACATCTCATATAGCTATAGTAATTGTTCCATATTTAGAACAAGGTCATCTGAATCCCCTTCTCAATCTTTCTCGTATAATTTCATCGTACAAACTTCCTGTATTTTTCCTAGGTACTAGTACTAGTAATCGACAGGCGAAATTCCGGCTATCTGGTTGGAACATTCTTGATTTTCCGACTATTCGATTTCATGACCTTGTACCTGGTTCTTGTTCCTCAGTTTCTGCATCAGTAATGGAGAAACTAGGCTCATTCTTCACATCCATTTTGCTGCTTCGTGAACCAATTCGGGAGTTTTTGCAGGAAGTTTCGAGTACATATAGAAGGACAGTGGTTATTAATGACACAGGTATGTAAAGACGGATTCAAAATTTAAATTTGATGGATTTGGCTTTGGTTTTGAGCTTCTCTTTCTTTACTTCTTTTAGAAAGACAACCTATTTATGATTTCAGTAAGAGAATATTAGTAAAAGGAAGGATCTAGAATGTTAAATATTTTAGGAGCTAGATTAGTAGACGAGGAACAATTAAGAAATGACAACCAAAAAAAGATCTAGTAAAATAACTATTACAACCAGTTCGTCATGGCAACAACAGCACTAGGAGAAAGACGATTAGTATCTCACGAATGACAGCTATTTCACTCGTTCACGTGTCTATTTTGCTTTACGAGGTATCAAAGCTATTTTGGGTACAATCATTTCAATTTCTCGAGTTGATATCTCATATGGTTACTCAACTGAAGAGTATTATTTCTTCTTCGTTTCAACTTTTCATTGAACAAAGATAACTTTCTGAGATAATAGTTGTTAGTTGAGTGACCATATGAGAAATGAACTCGGATTTCTCTACAAGTCTTTCTTATTTTGAGGTGTTCAAGAAGACCTTATTGCAGGCTATTCGTGAGGGAGTGATTGGAGTTAAACCATGTAGCTATCAGTTGTAGTTGTACTTTTGAAATTATGTGTTCAAAAACCAAATTGTTGCAGGCATGTCATGGGTAGTTCAAGATGCAGTGTCAATACCCAATACAGAATGCTACTGCTTCCACACTATTTCTGCGTTCACTGCTCTGTCATTCGCCTGTGAAGCTACAAAAAAGCCACTTCCGTCTCCCGTGGCTGAGATAATTGCAGAGCTTCCTCCAAAGGAAAACACATTTGATTCCGAAACTATAGAATACATAATGATGCAGCACGAGTCGAGAGATTTTTACTCAGTTGGTCTACACAATTCTTGCAAAGAGATTGAAGGTGTTTTTATTGAATTGCTGGAAGAACAACGCGAAAACAAGCAATGGGCAATTGGTCCAGTATATCCAGTGGAAATTTCAAAGAGAAAAAGCTCTGAACTAACTCATGAATGTTTTTCATGGCTTGATAAACAAGATCTAAATTCAGTGATTTATGTTTCATTTGGATCGACAACTACGTTATCGAAAGAACAAATTAACGAGCTGGCATTTGGATTAGAACAAAGTGAGCAAAAATTCATCTGGGTTCTTCGAGGAGCTGACAAAAAAGGTGGGGATAATATCGAAAATGTCGAAAGAGGAAGTAATTCTGATTTGCCAGACGGGTTTGAAGAGAGAATCAAAGAAAAGGGGGTTGGGTTTATAGAGAAAAATTGGGCACCCCAATTGGAAATCTTGGCACATGGGTCAATCGGGGGATTCATGAGTCATTGTGGATGGAATTCATGTATCGAGAGCATTTCAATGGGAGTTCCAATGGCAGCTTGGCCGATCCATTCAGATCAGCCGAGGAACACTGTGCTGATAACAAAAGTACTGAAGATCGGGATTATTGTGAGAGATTGGGAAAATCGATATGAATTGGTAAGTGCTGCGAAAATTAAAAATGCGGTGAGATTTTTGATGGATTCTGCCGAAGGAGAGGAGCTGCGGCGGAGAGTGACAGAGTTGAGCAGTTCTGTGAAGAAGTCAGTGATGAATGGCGCCAGTCGCAAGGAGATGGACTCCTTTGTTGCTCATATTACCAGATAAGTTCGCATTTCTCAGGTTAGGTTGATAATAATAAATCTATCGTTTTAAACATATGTTTTGTTATTAAACGTTTGAGTAATGATCTGTTATAATCGATTAAACTGTTTCGATGTTATAAAAATATGTTGTCTGTTTATAATATAAACTGCTTTAGATTCTAATAGAACAATACATGAAACAAGCTCAACTAGTACAAAACTATAACTTTTTATCTTGTAATATGGGAAATGAAAGAGTCCATCTCTTTGCCACCGCCACCACGATTCACCACTGATTTGCTCAACTCCGTAGCCCTCTTTCTCATCTTATCTCCTTCTGCAGAAGCCATCAATCTCTTAACGCATTCTGCTACTGCGTCTGAGCTCATCTCATCGCCCAATCCTTCAATTGTAGTCCAATTTTCAACACCTCTGTTACTAAAATTGCGTTGCTTGGTTGATCTGAATGCATTGGCCAAGCGACCATTGGCACTCCCATTGAAATACTCTCCATACATGAATTCCACCCACAATGACTCATAAATCCAATGTGTTGCTTTCCTCATCGGAAATTGTAGTCGTTGTTCCAAAAGACACGAATATGAGTTAAGGGGATCACTTGTTTGTCCTATATCGAGCTATGGGTGTAAGGGGGCTCATCAACAGTGTACATAACAATTTTAATCATACCATGAATTATTGCGTGGTAAAAATAAATCAAAAATCCACTTTCCGGAATTGAAGTTATAGTAAATCTCGTAATATGAAAATAGATTTACCGTCATAGTTTAATTCAGATTCAATAATTGATTTTCTCATTTTTCGTGTTTGATTGTAGCAACAGAGGTTGCCTTAAGTCCTTTTTGTTTTGGTAGACAGATCACTCTCTTTTAATACATTTTACGTGGCGTTTAGTAACAGGAAGATTACACAAAGTCAAGTCTTTTTTGAAGCTTCTTCCGGATAAGTTGAATTAGACCTTTAATTAAATATGTCCATGTCAATTTGTTAATGATAGATACGTGGAACATATAACTTTCAATCAAACCTTCTATTCTATGCTTTCTATAAAGCTTGGAATTTGCTTCCTTAGATTTTGTTGTATTTATTTTATCTTCACAAATTGAATTTACACAAGTATCTTTGAACGACTTTCCTCGTGAAGGAAGGTTCCACTTTATTATTCAAATAATAGATATTCTCTCCGTTTCATTTTATGTGATATTATATTCTTTTTGATCAGTCCCAAAAAGAATGTCGCATTTTTTATATGGTAAATATTTAAAGGTACAATTCCTCTTTTACCTTTATTGGTCCCACTTAATTTTAATAGTACTCTAATACATTTATGACGAGAGAGAAAAGTGAATTTATTTTTTTACCGGGCAATTTGATAAACATTTCAAAGTATTTATTATTTCTTAAAGTTTGTATCCGGTCAAATATTGTCACATTAAATGAAATAGAGGGGTATAAGATTTTTGTTAACTTTCTTTTGTATCTTTTTTTTTTTAAAGTAAAAATCCTTATTACATAGCTAATCTTCATCGAGATCCGAACTAATCCAAATTTATATCATATAAAAGCTACTAAAGAAATAAATTCGCGGCCCTCCAAAAATTTTATGTATACTTAAAACTCGAGTTTGAAACCTTTAATTAGTAAAAAAATAACTATATTCAAACAATATAAATATATAATTTTTTTTTTTTGGACAAACGTAAGTGGTGACATAAGCTTACTACATGAACAATTGATATGTGATATCAATTACTCATCTTGCAAAGTCTTTCAACCTTCTAGACTATAGCTTCGTTGAAGTTTCCTAAATTTATCATCACGTTAAAGTATTATTCCACTTGACTTGGTCTTTCTTAGCCCTTTTTTTTATTCATATATTTTTTCACTCGATATTTAATATCTGCATGAAAATTCAATTATTTTAGATATGTTCTACATATGATTCTATTCAAAAAAAAGTATTTCTTATCAATACTTTTAGTTAAGAGAGAAATAGTCTTATTGATTACATTATGATTATCATTTAACTTTGTAACTTATAACTCACATGAAAAACAAATTTAATCAAACCAATAAATCACATAAAAAAACTTAGTTAAACTTATAAATCACATGAAAAACAAATTTAATCAAACCTAAAATTACATAAAAAAACTTAGTTAAACTTATAAATCACATTAAAAAAAATTGTTATTCTAAGACCCCTTAGTTTTCAATAAAAAAATAAATATTAGAGCAAAAGAAGTTATAATGAGACCACTAAAATCTTCCATCCTATTCGAACTTTTATAAATAAAATTTTTTTATTAAAATTTATTATATTTTTCAAAAATAAGTTATATAATATATAAATTTAATCAAATCTCAATATAAATATCAAAACAAAACCAGGTAGAAAAGTCACAGAGTTCAAAAAGTGCAAATCATTTAGTGGAAAAATTGGTTAGCTACACAATATTGACTGGCTTTGCAAAACGACATAATTCATCCTACAACTTTTTTTGTCCCCTTTTTTTTTTTTTACTATTTTAATATTTCCAGTAGTTTTTTTTTTAATTTAAAATGTGGATGTATTTTTTAAAATTTAGTCATCTATGTCTGTCATTTATTCAATTAAAAAAAGGTGTTACGTCTGTCATACTGAATAAAAAAAAAAGGTTACCTTAATTGTTTATTATTACTTGTCATTACCTTCTATATTACTCATTTTTTAAGTTAGTTATCACGTCTTTATAAGTACATTTTTCTTTTAAAATTTCAGAAACTATATTATGTATGTTATTGTTATTGTGATAATATAATGATAATTACTACTATCTTGTATTATGTTTAAGTCATAAATATGAAATTATCCTTATTATTTATAATAATATATTCAGTGAAATTTCATATTTTTGTTTATATTTTGTTTGAATTATTATTACTCATTATTTCATAATATTTATATTGTATAGTACTATACTGTACTGTATTGTATGTTAGATGTAATATTTGGTTAGATTGTATTGTTTGTTATTGTTTAGTAATATTGTAATTGTTTGGTTTGATTGTATCGTATTGTAATGTAATTTATAAATTTATTTAAATATCCTTAATTATTCTAGAGTAGGTGGTTCAACTAGATTTAAATAATTAAAGTAAAGGGTAAAATAGTATTTTGAAAAATTATTTAAAGATATAATTGAAAAAAGAAATTAAGTAAAAATGGAAACACACCAAATTGGTTGTTCCATAAAATAAGGGTTTCTATTGTTAAGTAATAACTAAATTTAACAATCATTTTAACAACCAAAACAAGTTATAGGTATAGTAACGATGAAATACAATACAATGGATAACAATGATCCAAACATAGTGTTAGTGGCTTTAAAAAAGATAAATAATATATAACAGATCTTATCACTGTTTATAAAATTTGCTATTTTTGAAATAGAATTAGATTGTGTCCTGATTACCGTTAAACGATGAAAATGCTTTATCAAAACTAGATAGGAAAACTTAGCTAACTTTCGTATTTTGATAGCATCTTTATATAATAAGTAGCAACAATCAGATCCAGAGGCTATTTTCAAAAGAATTGTTTCGTTATAAACCATATTTAAATTATTTTTTTATATATCTGAATTTAATCGAAATTCAATACGGACCAATTCCACCTTTAAATACAGCCAATTGTAAGCAACAAATATTTCAACAACTCCGAAAAAAAAGCTTTGTTCTTCCATGGCGAAACTCACCAATCATGAAGTTGCCATAGTAATGATTCCACTACCAGCACAAGGCCATTTAAACCAACTCCTCCACCTCTCCCGCCTCATCTCCGCCTATAACCTCCCACTCCACTTCGCCGGAGCAGCCGTACACCTCCGTCAAGCAAAAAATCGTATCCATGGCTGGAACCCAGTCTCCACCTCCACCGTCAAATTCCACGAACTCCCAATCCCAAATTACGAAACCCCTCTTCCTAATCCAAATTCCACCACCAAATTCCCTTCCCAATTGATGCCGTCTTTCCACGCCACGATTCATCTTCGTCACCCGATTACTTCCCTTTTACAAGAACTCTCCAGAAATTACAGAAGAGTAATTGTTATTTACGATTCTTTAATAGCTTGGGTTCTTCAAGATACACCTTCTATACCAAACGTTGAGTGTTACAGCTTTCGTAGCATTTCAGTTTTTTCGATCTACTCTTGGGATAAATCCAGTGTAACGCCGGAGTTTACAGAGTATAGCAGAGTACAATTTGAGTTCAGAGAAATTGTTAATTCTGGTAATTTATACAATTCTTGCTATGAAATTGAAGGATTGTATCTTGATTTTGTAGCAAAAGAGAAAAGTGCGCGTAATAAACAATGGGCTATTGGACCATTAAACCCTGTGAAACAGTTTGATAAAAAAAATTCATTAATTTCGCATAAATGTATGAATTGGCTTGATGAACAAGAACCAAATTCTGTGATATTCGTGTCTTTCGGGACGACGACTACGTTTTCTGATGAACAAATTAAGGAATTAGCAATTGGGTTGGAGAAAAGTGAACAGAGATTTATATGGGTATTGAGGGAAGCTGATAAAGGTGACATTTTTACAGGGGAAAGTAGAGAAGTTGAGTTACCAGAAGGGTATGAAGAGAGAGTGGGGAAAAGAGGGGTTATAGTGAGAGATTGGGCACCACAATTGGAGATATTGGGACACGAGTCGACGGGTGGATTCATGAGCCATTGCGGGTGGAATTCGTGTATGGAGAGTATATCAATGGGAGTACCAATATTAGCTTGGCCAATGCATTCAGATCAACCAAGAAATGCAGTTTTGGTAACTGAAGTGTTGAAAATTGGAGTAGAGTTGAGGGATTGGGCAAAGAGAGATGAGTTGGTGAGTTCAGTTGCAGTTGCAGAATGTGTTAAGAGATTGATGGATTCTGCAGAAGGAGATGAGATGAGACAGAGGGTTATGGAGTTGAGTAAATCAGTGGTGGATGGTGGTGGCAGTGGCAGAGAGATGGCTTCTTTCATTGCCCATATTACGAGATAATAAAAGACGATTTTAACTAGATTTTATTCCTTTTAAACGATTGTAGTGAGTTTGTTGTGCCAACTTGAAGTGGCTATTGATGGGCTACATTTATAAAGAAGTTCAGTGTGTTACTATAATTCGACTCAAAGTTAAAGGTGTTTTAATGTTTTACGCGTTGTGTAATATTGATAATTAATTGATATATGATAACGTAAAAAATAAATACAAGTATCATGTTGGATCACAATCTAATCAGCTTTGAACAAACCTATATTTCAGAGCGGCATAATACATAAATATGCCCTTTAACTTGGCTTTGAATCACATTTATGTCCTTCAACTTTGGGCGTGCACAAGCAAACACTTAACTTATATAAAGTTGAACAAATTGACACACATGTCCTACGTGTCATTCTACATGTCATTTTTTTATTCTATGTGGTGTCCTACGTATATTGTGTCATGTAGGACTCATGTATTTATTTATTTAAAAGTTGAATAGTTAAAGTGTTTGTTTGTGTTTATAAACGTTGGAGGTTAAAGTTAAAATTCAAAATCAAATTTATAATTAATATATGTATTATGCCTTTCTGAGTGCTTGAAATTTCAAAGTGAATTTTAATTTCGATTCTTCTCACAAGATTCAAAAGTTACATTTCTATATATTATCTTCTTTTAATATTTTTATTCGTTCACTTTAAGAAAATACTACAATATTCAAACATGTAATTATTTTTTTTTTAAAAATGTTTTATATGCTAAAAATGTAATAAAAGTATTATGTTTTTTTTTTTTTTTGCAATATTGCACACCCTTTCAGGAAATTTCCATGGCAGGCAGCCAAGCGAGTTTGGTTTCCAAATACGAACAAACACCAACAAGAAATTACGCCTAATTACAGTGCTCTCTAAACGTATTTGGATTTCTTCAGTTTGTTCTTCTCAGTGTTTCTTTTGGTGAGTTTGATTCAGAAAACTCGAAGGTTTTTTAAAGAATAGAGAAGGAAATAGATATGGGTATGCTCAGATAGCAGTTTTGGTGACCAATTTTTCACGGTTTGTGCTAAACCCTTTTCGATTTTCTTGCTCAATTTGCTTGTATCAGTGAAAATTTCCATGAAAGATTGGATCTTTTTGTTGCTTTGTCGATTATGAAATCACCCAAATTAGCAAAATCTATTTTTGCTGCTTTTTCTGATATGGGTTATGCTGAGACAGCAATATAGTGACTAAATTTTCACGGTTTGTGTTGAACCCTTTTCGATTTTGTTTCTCAATTTGCTTGTATCAGTGAAAATCTCATGAAAGATTGGATCTTTTGTTGCTTTTTTGATTATGAAATTACCCAAAATCAGCAGTCTCTTTTTCTGCAATTGTTTGATGTATTATTGTGCTTTCTTTTTCCAGTCTGTGAATTTTCAAGTATCAAATGGCGCTGTGTTCTATTTACAAGTATGGTTCAAAAGCTCAAGGGTTGGCGTTTCTTGCATTTGGGTCCATTTCCTTTTTGGTATTTGTTTATGTTGCTATTGTCTCCAAGTTGCTTCCGCCATTCGACAATCCGATCCTTGCAGCCATTCAGAATGACAGGTGACTTTCCCTTTGTTCAATTTTATCCAGTTTCTGTTATTTAGTCAAATTAGCTTATGCCTGGCTGTATTGATAGCTATTGGGAATTATTATAATGTAGTGCTTAGTGAAATGCAAACTGTTATTGAGCCTTATCCGGATTGTTTGTCGCTGTTTCACTTTAGAAACTGATTGTTTAGATAAAATTATCTCTAAATTTAGGGATTTGTAAGGAACTTGACACTGTGACATTGTTTTGTAGATCATAAACTGAGTTGAGGTATCGAGATTTTAGATAGTGTTTTGGGATAATAAATGGGTTTGTTCACTTACTATTTATGAATGTTCTTTTGCTGTCCACTGTGTTTGTTACTCTTGACAAATTGTATGATTGGCCTGTTGGTAATAGTTGTTCACAAATTGTATAGATCATAACTTACCGGTTTGGGATCATTTATGCTCTAACTGCAGGGATGTTGATCCCACTCCCATTTAAACTTATTTTACTAGGATCTCGTCTCCATGAAACTTGCATTCATATTTGTGACACTTCTGTCTGTTTAATAATTATCTCGTCTCCCCTTTTTGAAAAATAAAGAGATTTTATCTAGTTCATTGGAAAGGTACTTTTTGGGATTCTGCTTTTAATCATCATGGATATAGAAAGAAGATTACTTAGAAGCCGATGCTGCTGGTCGAAATGTATTATGCTTTCCATACGACCTATAGCTCTTCAGTAAGTTACAACTCGAACATCTAACTGCTTGTGGTTTCAATAAAAAAGTTAATATGCTTAAGAGGTTTACAACTACATGGGTCTCTTCCAACCAGTTAACTGAAAGATCAATTTTGAATAGAAACACTTCCATTTTCTTACTTATTCATCACTCACATTGAGCCGAAGCATTGATTTGGTAGTACCAGACCAGTACTTCTCAATTCTGGATGCTTACATTCATTGTTAATGCATTAGCCAGCTTGCAGCATAATATTACGTACTGGTATGATGATTTGGTAAAAGTTGATTCGATTATGTTATCTTAATACTTTAGTTATACAAGAGTCTTCATTAACTGAATTCGACTTCGTCAATAAAAAGCGGTTATGGCATGAGTGGAATTGTTATTTGGAAAGGAGGATTCTATGAGATATCTTTCTGATTTTGTGATGGTTGTTAGTCTAATATAATCACCGTGCTATAATCAAAATCTTACTAAATGCTTGATGGGTTTTGTAGCTGGACTATCTCATGTTCAATAGTTTACGAATATTCTTCTTCCCCTTATCCCAAATTATCACGTTTGTGTTGGTATAAATAGCGCTTTTAGCCTGTGTTTGAGTTATTTTGTATTTCTGTTTCAGATACTATTGCTTTCTGGTTCCATTAACGCTTCCCATCCTTGTTGTTGCTATATATTTCCACTGGCTCAGCATGAAGATCTTTAAGCATGCATAGCTCAGACGAGGTATGGAGCTTTTGTGTAATCTCACGAAGGATCGTCATCAATTGGTTAGGTTTCTGATTCCAAGTTGTTTACTTGAAACATTTGACATGAGTAGAATGAGATAAGTTTTCGTAGTAATGACAAACGAAGATACTTTCACTATTAAAGTGTAGTTATTTCAGCCCCTTTTGTGTTTCTGCATTTCCCGGAACTTCAGAAGTTAAGAGGACAAAATCGCGAGCTTCCTTCAAATAAATAATTTGCATAAATCAATACTTGCTTCTATCCAAGATTTTTGATGAAGGAACCGCTTATGAAGAAGACATTTAGGCTACTAAATCATCTTAGGACATTTAGACATTTTAAGTTTTTTTTTTTATCCTAATTCAACAGTTCAGTTGTTTGTAATTGGTATGAACACAGAATTTTGAAATTGACTTGCTTATATATATTGAAGTAATTGTAGGAAAAAAGCTGTCTTTGTTAATCTTCTTCTTTTTGAGGGCTTGATTAGCCTATTATCCCTGGTGGGAGCTAGCAGATACCTTGTGAAATTAGTTCTCGAGTTATAAAAAAATATTAAGAAGGTAAAATTGTAGACAAAATGACACTGAAGTTTTACTCAAGTCACTTGCAAATTCTGTTAACTCGAATATTAATAGTTTGAATTAACAAACTCTAGTGACTAGCTAAACAATATCAAATAATGCAAACAATTTTCTAAGTAAAAAAATTGAAAGTGTTCTCTTTTTTTTTTTCGATAAAAAGTACAATATGATCCACTAAAGTTTTTGCTATGCGCGAGATTTAGAGAAGAGTCGAACCAAAAAGGTCATTGTACATAGTTTTGGATGACAAGAAAAAAGAACACTTTTTTGAAGCATTATAGACTGTATTGACAACTAAAAGAAGGTTGTTGGTCAACTTTTAAAGGGGAGAGCCTTAGCGCAGCAATAAGAGTCTATCAGTATATTGAATGTTACGAGTTTAAGGTGTAAAAATAATCTTGGAGAAATATTATTCTGAAATTTTGCTAAAAGTAGTCGAACGAATAAAGTCAGGGAAAATTTATGAAGTTATTTTGATGAATTTTGAATATATAATAGTTCAGAATCGTATCTCTTTAGAGTTTCTAAAAAAAACATTCTATATATGTTTAAAGTACTTATAAAGCAGACATATTTGGTTCCCTTTTTCCTAGTGTGGATATGGAGATTATTAAGGGAATATGAAAGAGTTGGTCATACCACATGCTTCGAACTCATTGCTTTTGTCTCGAACTATGTGTATATATATAAAAAAATAGATTTTAAATGTAAACATATAATATAAGGACCATTTGAAGGAAGAAGACATTATTTGACTTTATTGTAACAACACACAAAAAAAATAGTTACAAATGTAAAGATCCCCTCTTAATAGAAAGAACACAACAGAAGAATGGTAAAAGAAATCAACCCCTTTTAACCATTTCATCTGTCTATGGGCTACAGAATTGCAATGGAATCTATTTCTTCCTAACTCTACCACAACACAGCTAACACCTTTTGAAGAAACACAAGTGTCTGGTACTTTATGAAAACAAGAAAAAAGGGGTTTCGATTGATGTCAAAACTTATTTGTGCCTTCTTTTGGATTCTCCATAAGCAACAACTCCCATCACAGTCATTGTGTAGCCCGCGATTCCGATGAATGTTACTGGATTTTGGAAAATAAGTATGGAGATAACAACAGCAACTGCACCTTTTGCATTGCCTAGGACCTGCACCAGTCCATAGAGAGTTAAGTTATTTCAAACAAGTGAAAAATATGTTACATTTGCAGCTACTATGAGAATTTAGTAACCATTCTTGAAAAATATAGTAGGTGTTTTTTTTTTTTGGCAGGGGGGATGACAAGGGAAACTCGAAACCGCTATACTTGGGTGCATACACGATAAAATCCCCGCTCTTATGCAATAACTCGCAAACCACATATAGATGTAACCTGCACTAGACAAATCTGGTGCGAGGAGCTCGACCCAGAAGACAAACCCTTGCTTTTGAACTTGAGACCTCCAACATGAAAGTCCCAAGCCCAAACCACTGGGCCACCCTAAAGGGCAATAGTAGGTGTTTAGACAGTATTTGGTTGATGTTTCACAGACTCACCAAAGAATGTTGTTGCATCTTGACAGATCTTCTAAAGATGCATTACTTTTGGAGGATTTGATACACACTTGGTTGCATTTTTGAAGAGTCGGAGCAATATAGTATTTGGTTGAAGTTTAAAGGGTATTTGGAAGTCGTGTTCAAACAATGTATTTAAAAAAATAATCTTTCTTGGCCAGAGACTAGGCGTGATCATTCGTGTTTAAGTCTAAAGAAATATGTCGAGTTAAGAGAACAAAAACATATGCTAATCCAGGAGTGGTCTATAGTGGCCAATGCTATCTACGATAAGGTTCTTTATTCCTAGGTTCAGACTTGAACTCGAGACTTTTGATTAAGGATAATATATTTCCAACCACTCCACCACATCCATCGGTTATCATTCTGCTTTCATCTTTCTTTTGCCACATAACACTACACTTAAAGGGGAAAAAAGAGGGGTAGGAGAGGAGCAAACCTGGAGTGTCAATGCACTGGTATGCTTAGTCACCAAAAAGTTCAATAAATTGGCACCATAGGCCATTGCGGAATTAACCACAATAAGCAGGCCAAGGTATCTGTGTTCAGTCGCGAGTGTTGCAGTGACATCGATAACATTGGGCTCCATAACGAGTGCAGCAGGCAATAACACTACGACAGCAATTGGTGACATGTAGAGCAGGAGATTCATGGAGTTCAGCTTCTCCCTGAAAGATAACATCAAGTTAAGGAGAAAACTACTAGTTAAAATGTAACAGCAAAACAAACGAACGACAAATAAATCGAATGAAGGGTCATGAATTTGAAAGGAACCCCAATCTCTATCAGATGTAAATCAAACGAGGAACCTAGAAGATCAGAAACTCGTAACCTGTAGTTAGTTATCTTTTAGATGATGTGATGGTAAAAGTATTTTGCGTTCACACAGATGGCTAGAAGACGCAAAGTACTTACCCTTCAGAAGAAAGAAGAACTCCTTGAAGAACAGACTTGAAGGCTCTAGCAGCAGTTGCACCAATACACATGATAAATCCATAAAGGTGGAAGCTTGGCTCACCCTATCATCAAATCAAGAAACTTAATAGTCAATAAACAACAATAACAACATACCCGGGATAATCCCACACGTGGAATTTGGGGAGGGTAGCGTGTGTGCAAACCTTACCGCTACCTTAGGAGGTAGATTAATACTTAATAAAAGTTACTACAAAATTTTCAACAAGAAAACAAAACCTATTTCAACAACCAATAGATGGATACTTGTCATGGCTTAATAAACTTCAAATATAACACAACAAAAGACAAAGGTAAGTAATTTAACTATCAATTTCTTACTGAATAAAATCTTAAATTAATACCATGAGACATTGAGAATCTCTGAATTGCTTGAAGTATATTTATCATCTAGTGTTTGATTCTGTATATATGTCATCAAAACACACTCAATTGAGACTTGAGAGGCAAAGATACAAGGTGATCTATCCCTATATTTTCAAGTTTTGCTAGACAGAGTTACCCTAAAGCTAGCTCGGACATCACGATTGTTTACTTTTTTTTGGATGACAAGGGAAATCCGTAGCCGCTACCCTTTGGGTGCGCACATGGTAAAGCCCCTTCCTATGCAATAGCTCGCAAACCACATAGGAGAGGTAACCATCACTAGGCAAATCTGGTGCGATGAACTCTCGACTCATAAGACAAATCCCTTGCTTCCGCTAGCAAGGGATTTCGAACTTGAGACCTCCAACATGAAAGTCCAAGCCTAAACCACTAGGCCACTCCGAAGGGTCTCGGACATCATGATTATCATAAGAAAAAAACACATTCTACCGAGCAAACTTCACTTTAATGAATATCTCCAATGGAAACGTCGTCAAGGAAGACACTATCATTTTAAAAAAGCCAGTGCTCTTTATGAAAATTGAAATAGAATGTGAAAGTAACATAATTTCCATCGAAAAGAAAAGCAAACTACTGCAAAACACAGAAATGGTAAGAATTGTTCACAAAGGAAAGTATTTTTGACAGGGGCATCAATATACAGGTGGAAGATTACTAGAAAGATTCGAAGTTGAATGAATAATGGGCTTGATAAAAACTTATGATGTGTTGAACACATTAAATTTAAATTCTAGATCTGCCTGACAACAAATTGTCGAGGCGTTATAATGTATCGATATGAGCATCCATAAAAATTCTCATATCTGATCTCAATCAGTTAATCTAGACTTCTAAAAGAACTACTGCCATTGTTAAAAAAATCATACATCAACTTTAATAGGAATGAAATTAAACAGCCCAAAAAAGGATAGAAATTTTAAGAGAAAAAGATCCAATTTTTCTACACGAAACATACTACAACCTGATCAACTAAATATAATACCAAGTAACAAGCAATTAAATATTCAACAATAAAGGCCACGGTGGAGCTATAAGTGCTCCTCCATCTTTAACCATAAGTCTCAGGTTCGAATCCTAGGTGCATATTGCCTCCAAAGTGACCTCCTGAATCCAAAATAGTCAAGCGCCAAAATAGGGTATAAAACACGGAAACCCAAAAAAAAAGACAAGCAATTAAATGTTCACCACCAAAAGTCATGGTGAGTTGCAAGTACTGCATCATTTTTAACCAAAGGTCTTTGATTCGAGCCCTATGTATGTTTTATCCCCAAAGTGGGACCTCCTAAATCTAGAGTCGAGCCCATAATGAGTACAAAATACGAAAACAAAATAAAAGCAATTTACTTTTCATTACCAAAGGTCTTGGTGAAGTTGTAAGTATTCCTCCATCTTTAACCAACGAGCTCGGGTTCAACCCCTAGGCATGTTTTATCCTCAAAGTGGAACCTCCTAAATCTAGATTGGTCGAACCCCAAAATGGGACAAGACAAAACCAAAAAAAAAAAAAGAAAACAAGCAATTAACTATTCACCACCAAAGGTAGCCTAAAAAGTATTCCTCCATCTTTAACCAAAGATCTTGTGTTCAAGCCTTACGAACGTTTATTCCCTAGAGAATGGGTCGAGAACACGGAAACCAAAAAAAACAATTAACTATTCACCACAAAGGTTGTAGTGGAGCTATAAGTACTTCTTTATTTTTAACCAAAGGTCTCAATTTCAAACTCTAGAGCGTTTTATCCCAAAGTAAAATTGAATCCAAATTAGTCGAGCTCCAAAATGAATACGAATACACGGAAACCAAAAAAAAACAAGCAATTAACTATTCATTTAAGAAAAAGAACAAGTTAGAAAGTTTGCAAACATACCCCACTTGCGATAACAACCCCAGTAACAACAGGAACAAGGCAACCATAAGTAGCCCAAGCTTCTTGCTTCCTTGTCATCAAATAAGCAAACAATGCAGTAAAAAAGGGTGTTGTTGCACCCACAGCCTGATTAAACGACACAGGCAAGTACCTTAAAGAAATGTTTCCACCAACAACAGAACCACAAAAGACAACACTAAGGGTAGAAATTCTTAAAAATTGAGACCTTGATTTAATCCTCTGAAAAGGTGCAATCTTTAAGAAAACAATAGAAACATAGCTAAGAACAGCACAAGCTGTCATATGACACATTGTAAGAAAAATTGGGAATCTAAATCCATAATTTGACAGCAATAATTTGTTTAAAAGAAGAACTCCAATATTTGAGGAATACCAAAATGTTATAAGTGTAGCTATGAAAAAACCCTTCTTTTCTAATTGTCCAGACAACATTTTTTTTTGATTCTTGATTTTATCAAAAATGGCAAAAAGATTCGATTTTTAAGGTACCCTTTTGTTGAAACTACAAGAAAAAACTCAGAAATTGATCAATCCACCCTTTTCTCAACAGATTTTCAAGATTTATTTCTTGAAAAAAATTTGATTTTCAGTGTGTGTGTGTGTTTGGGAACTTTTTTGTGGGGAATGTATGTAAGTGGAAGAAAGAGAAGCAATTGTGTTATTTGTGTGCCTCTCTTCTTCCTTTTTCTTCCCCACAAGACCCAAATTTTGGAGATTACCTCTAATTTTTGTGAACTTGTAATATATAAAGAAAGAAAAGTTCAATGTACTTAGATATTTAAGATAAAGAGAAGTTCTAATTAAAGTTGAAATATAGGGTGATCCAATTTTTTCGACCCTTTTTTAAATGTATAATTTTTGAAGGTGAAAGAAAAAAAAATATTTTAAATTTAAAATTTTAATATATAGTGTGGTGATTCACATATTTTCTGTGGTGAACTTCCATGTTATTGAACTGAATGTTTGTTGGATCATGCAATTATAAAATTTGGAGATAGTAATTTTTTTTAATGGAGAAAGGATTAGTGGTGTATGATTCGAATTTTGATGGATAATGGATTGTTATATATTTATTTGTTTAAATGTCATATTAATTTGTTTGTATGATGTGCATCTAACTTACATGTCATGTTATTTTACGTTTTTACTGTCGAAGGCAATATAGGAGATAAATTTATCAATAGAGAGTTTTGATAATACCTTGGTATTCAAACATTATAATTTGTTAGTAATTTATGAATTTTGTTTTCTTATTTTTTTCCATTTGTAGAAGTTTGCTCATATCAATTGAAATGTTTGAGCTTATGATATTTATAGTATATGGTAAAAAGAATACATCAATTATCCTTTTTTTTATGAGTTCTGTCCCATAATTATGTATTTGTTTCATTTATCTATCTAATTATTATATTTTTTGTGAGTTTATATTTTGACTATTTATTGTTTTATTTACGTACTTAAGCTAGCACTCTCTTTGTTAGACATATCTCGATGACGACTTGGCCAATATATATGGTTGTTATAAATTGAGAAGAATATTTGATCAACTCACCATCAAGATATTATGATTTAATACCGAGGAAGTAATGATTTAAATAGATATAAGAAATAATGAATAGTTAAAGTATGAAATTCGTGAAAAAAAAATAATTTTTTCATGGTGTGCTTTTGATCTAAAATCATCTTTATTTTGTAATTGAGTGATAGCAATAAAGAATTGCCTAACTCACTAGAAGATAGTGACCCTAACTTTTTAGATAGAAAAAAGTTACCAAACTAATTACTGCATGCATGTGTTATGTTAAGGAAAACATTTGATGCTATGAAAATTTTGATACTTCTTAACAAACTTTATGAATCTAATTTTGGCATGAATTAGTTAGGTAAGTTTTCAATTCGATGATATATTTAACTTTTAGTTACTAAAATTATGTTGAAATGAAATTCAGAATACATGTTGCATGAGCTATTAGAAGCTCCAAGTTAGAAGTTCTTGATTAATCTATAGCTAGGTCCTTTAGCTGTGAAAGAGGCTTGAAAAAGAAAGTGAAGAGGGGGGAAAATGTTTTCTTTTTGGTTGTGATGGGATGATAAATATCATTTAGTCGTTAATTAAAGGTGTTTTGAATTTGAATTCTTGATTTGGGGTAGCTTTTGTTGAAAGCGCTTTACTAACATATGAAACTTTTTACTCAAGATATTGTTAGATAAAGTTATCGTCATGAAGAGGACTACAAAGGCGATATGAACATATATAGTGTTTGTATTGGACTCAAGAGTGATTTTTTTTTTTTTAAAAAAATACACATTCACTATTTTCCACATGTAAAGATTGTGTTGATTTATATATGTACTCTCTCCGTTCATTTTTAGTTATCATGTTACGCTTTTCGAAAGTCAATTTGATTAATTTTCAAAGTTAAATTAGATTACATTAATTCGATATTTTGAACAAAAATTTTAGATTATGAAAAATACTATAAATTGCAATTTTTTGCATATCAATATGATCAAAAAAATACATCTTAAAATAATAGTAAAAATTTTTATAATGTGACTCTAAAAATAAAAATCATGACAAACAATAATGGACGGAGTATTTGTCTAAGTACCATGATAATAAATTTTAATTACTCCCACTTACACTCTAGCCTCTTGTCTAAAAATGTACAATTCCTCAATGCATAAAATCAAAGTGCCAACTCCTACCAAATCAATCACTAGCTCCAAATTCCAATCATAGTTTGTTTTCCTAATCCAACTTGAACATTAACTCCGGAGTTTTAGAGCAAAGATAAAGTTTTCTAGGTTATAAATTCGAATTTCGAAAGCAAATCATTAATACTTGCATGAGCTGTGTCGACTTACGTATGTCTCGTTGACAACACAACCTACCCTTGAAATTTGATCCTTCCATGAACCATACTAATATGAAATGGTTTTTGTCAAATCGAATCACCCTTTTTTTTCTTAATATTTTAGTTAAGAATATTTGTAACTTGTTTCTCGCTACTAAGATACTTGTCTTTAATCGGACCTTACAATAGTTTTTCTTTTTGAAATGATAATTTATTTCAATATGTTTCGAATGCTCTAAAAAAACATCAAGCTAAGTGGTTATTTACAAAATAACAAACATGTCATCATTTTAATAAATCTTTATTTTCTTATTTTATTCAATTGTTCACAAGTCTCTAATCCAGTGATTATTTGCTAAGTAACCTTATTATCACCCGTCATGACAAACACATCACAATTTTAATACAATCTTTATTTTTTGTTATTTTATTAAATTATTCATAAGTCTCGTCGAATTAACGAGGCCATTTTTGCACCAATTTTTTAAATGTGGACAAAATTTAAACAATGGTCACAGGTTAAAAGGTGTCTATTTATGCAAATCTCCGGTCCATGTCCATTTAGAAATGAACCAGGTTAGTGTGCCATGAATCTTCTTCCACGTAAGACAAAAGTAGAGTTGTCAAAATGGACTGATCCAATGCAATCTTAACGGGTTAGAGAGTTAAATGAGTTGGAGCAAGCAGACCCTTTTAATCAAAGGGTCGATAAAATAGCGGTCCAATCCATCCCTAAGCAGGCCACGGGTTGACCCTTCAACCATAAAAAGAACAATATTACTCTCTTAGAATGAGTATCTAAGAGTATTAAATGTTGACGTCTATGAACACGACATCAATACATACAAATTTTCATTTATAAATCACACACTTCAGTGAATACTTACATAAGTACATCTATGAATCTTACACTTTGGTGAACGCTTACCAAATTACATAATAGTCAACGTAAAATTTAGCGGATAAGTGTTGATCATTCAAGCATTCCTTCCACAAAAAACAAGCTAGGATAAAAGACTTGATCTTTTATGTATTTAACATATTTATTGATAAAACTTTACAAATAAAACACTATTATATATATATTATTTATAATATTTTTAAATAGAGCGACTTTCACATATAGCAAACATAAAATTCATATTTGTAAGCTATAGCAAAGTTTGCATAATTGCACTCCATAACAAACATATAAATGTATAATTAGCTTTACATATATAATTGAAGCGAATTGTATAAAACGAAGTGTATAAAACGAGAAAGAGTTGAGACTTGGGCAGACAATTGTATAAAAACAAAATGTGTAAAACGAATTGTATAATTATAAGTGTATAGAACGATTATATACAATTTGAATTTGTATAAAATGAGAAAGAGAGAAAGGCAAAAGAGACTTTGGCAGGGAATATACAATTGAATCGAATTGTATAAAATGAAAAAGAGAGAAATTATATAGAATTTGAATTTGTATAAATGAGAAAGAGAGAAAGACAAAAGAAACTGGGCAGGGGAGTATTTTTATTGTATAAATGTATAGGATGAAAATATAAGTATTTGCATGTGTATATACGATTTTCTCTTGTTTTATACAATCAAAATTACAATTTATACATTTCGTTTCTGTTTGTATAAGCGAGAGAGGTGAGGGCGGCGAGCGAGATTAGGGAGAGTGGCGAGCGAGATCTGGGAGAGGGGAGAGAGTGGAACAAAAATATACGTATTTATACAATTTCTTCTGCTTTATACAGATAGAAATAGATTCTATACACTTGTGTTTGTATAAAAGAGAGGAAGTGAGCGAGAGATGGAGCTAGAGAGGAGAGTGGTGAGTGAGAGTTTGAGGAAGAGAGGTAACTGACAAACAGTTTGCTAAGGGACACAATTAAATCAAAGAGCCGTTATAACAATTAAGTTGATTTATTAGTTTGTCATTATATACAATTTTTCCATTTAAATATTCATAGCCCACGGGCTGGCCTCTTAGCCTTGCAGGTTGAGCCTAAGAGGCTAGCGAACCAAGTGAAGCTGGGCTAAAAAATATGTCCTAAATGAGCCAAAAAAGTAGGCCCAACCCCACTTAATTCAAGGATTGGGCCGGCCTCGCGGGTCAAGCTTATTTTGATAGCTCTAGACAAAAGAGAATATTCTTCTTATTTACATTAATCAATCCTTCAAATTCCAATTATTACACTTTAACCCCTATCACTCTTGTCTTAGCAAATGAAAATCACCATTTTAATTATTTTTTTAGCAAATTATACTGGAAATTTTTCTAGGGTTTTCAAAACCCTAAATTGATTTCATCATTTTCTTCAGCAATTCAAAGGAATTTCAAGAGCTTTTTTAGGTACATTTTATTTAATTTTACTTTTCTTAGAATTAAACTAAAAATTCAAGATTTTTTTTTTAATCTATTCGTGTTTGAATCAAAAACTTTATGTAACCCTTTTAATTCTACAACAAAAGAACAAGAAAAAAAAATTTAGATGGTATATCCAATTTTGATGTGATGATTTTTGAAAATTTGAAGTTGTTTTACTTTTTTGTCATTTATTAATCAATATTTGCAAGTGTATATGTTGTAGAAGTAGTTAATCATGTGTAAATTTTGTTGATTTTTAATCATCATGTTTCAAATGTACAATTTCTATACACAATGGCTATCTCGTGTTCATGATATCTAGATCGACGCACTCTTGGAGTGGGGTGGTGGTGGGGTTACTCTTTTGGTATCAATGCAAATAGGTTATTAATGGGCTCAGAAATCTTTAAAATCAAATATTTCTATAATTAAAACATAGGTTCTCGGGTATTTGCTGTTGGTGCGAGACGAAACATGTCATGAGGAGTTAATTGAGGTGGGTACAAGCTGGCCTGGGCACTATGATTATAAAAAAAAGTTAAAAAATGCAGACTACCACAAAGTTACATGATATTTGTGCTGGTGAGAGTGGGGTGGGGTGGGGTGGGTTGGAGGAAGGGGTACTTTATTGGTATCAAAGCAAAGGTTAATTATGGGCTCAGGAATCTTCAAAGACCAATATTTCTAAAATTAAAACGTAGACACCTGGTATTTGTTGCTGCTAGGAGGTGACACATATCATGTGAAATTGGTTGAGGCGTGCATAAGCTAGGTGGACACTGTGATTATCAAAAAAGAAGTTAAAAAATATAGATTACTACAAAATTATATTGTACTTTTACTGGTGAGAGTGGGGTGTGGGTGTGGGGGTGTGGTGGTGGTGGTAGGGGGGGTACTTTGTTGGTATTAAAGCAAATGTTAATAATGAGCTTAAAAATCTTCTAAAACCAATATTTCTAAAACTAAACATAGACTACTAAATACTTGTTGCTGGTGGAAGTTGACACATATCGTGTGAAATAAGTTAAGGTGTGCACAAGTTGGCAACACTATGATTATAAAAAATGCAGACTACCACAAAGTTATATGGTTACTTGTGCTGGTGAGAGTGGGGGTGGAGGTAGGGTTTACTCTATTGGTATCAAAGCAAAGATTAATAATGGGCTTACGAATCTTCAAAAATAAATATTTCTAAAACTAAAATATAGATTAACTGGTATTTATTGTTGGTGGGAGGTGATACATATCGTGTGAAATTAGTTGAGGTGTACGCAAGTTAGCGGGACACTATGATTATAAAAAAAGAAGCTAAAAATGCAGACAACCACAAAGTTATATGGTACTTGTGCTGATGAGAGTGGGGGTGGGTAGGGTGGATGTGTGGTACGAGGTACTTTATTGGTATTAAAGCAAAGGTTAATAATGGGCTTAGAAATCTTCAAAAACCAATATTTCTAAATTAAAACATAGATTATCTGATATTTGTTGCTGGTGAGAGGTGACACATATCATGTGAAATTAGCTGAGGTGTGTGTAAGCTGTCCAAACACTATAATTATCAAAATCAAGTTAAAAAATGCAGACTACCACAAAGTTATATGTGGTACTTGTTATGGTGAGTGTGGGGGGTGGGGTAAGGGGTATTCTATTGGTATCAAAACAAAGGTTCATAATGGGCTCATGAATCTTCAAAAACAAATATTTCTAAATCACAACAATGGGCTCATGAATCTTCAAAAACAAATATTTCTAAATCACAACATACTTGATATTTGTTGCGGTGGGAGGTGATACGTATCGTATGAAATTAGTTGAGGTTTGCGCAAATTGAAGGGACACTATAATTATCAAAAAAGAAGTAAAAAAATTCAGACTACCACAAAGTTATATGGTACTTGTGTTGGTGAGAGTGGGGAGGGGGGGGGGGGGAACTCTATTGATATCAAAGCAAAGGTTAATAATGGGCTTAGGAATCTTCAAAAACCAATATTTCTAAAATTAAAACATAGATTACCTGATATTTGTTATTGGTGGGAGGTGATACGTATCGTGTGAAATTAGTTGAGGTGTCCTTGACACTATGGTTATCAAGAAATAAACTAAAAAATGTAGATTATCACAAAGTTGCATGGCATTTTTGTGTTGGTGAGACTTCATAGGAACTCATGACAGTTGAGATGTGCGCAAGCTGACTCGATTCATTGAAAAAAGACACCTAGAGGTTCTTATTGTTTGCTTTACTAGTAAATAGGAGCATTGATTTTTCAATATGACCTTTTGAAGCTTGATAGTGTTACAAGCATCAACCTAGATGTTAAAAAAATTACTTTTTGAAGTTTTAGACTGTTTTTCCTTGAGCCCGGGGTCTATCGGAAACATATTTTCTATCTTTGAGGTAGAGGTAAGGTCTACGTGCACTCTACCCTCCGCAGATTCTACTTTGTCGGACTACACTGGGTATGTTGTTGTATACTGTTTTCCATTTTATCTCTTAAACCGGATATGTGATCTCTTCTTCTTCTTTTTTTCCTTTAGTCAGAATGATGTTTCTTGATGAGATGGATTTATCTCTTTGGGATCCACCTGAAAATCAAGGTTTGATATTCTGTTGTTACCTTGATTGGATTGTCAAGATTTTGGTAATGGAAGTACTGAAGTAGATGATTTCTTTAGTCTACACAGATGTAAGCAGCTATGCAAGATGGGAGTATAACTTGTATTTCGATCCGAGGCTTGGTAAGTTCATAATATTCACATATATAGATCTTTTAGTGTCAATTTTGATCGACATACCTCATCTGTTTGAATTGATTCTATGTCATAGACGTGATCGAGGCAGATGCTTTAAACAAGAAATCATGTCTGCAAGTGTTGGAGATACAGGAAAACAAAGCTGATTCAGAAATTCGAGAAGTTGAAGTTGATGAACTTATGCTCCAGAGACAAGTTGCCCGTGAAGATAATACGAGTCTTGCTGCATCGAATAAGGAAATTGTTAACCTGGAGAGCACGCTAAAGACTTCACAGAATGAGAATCAGCTGGTATGCTTTCTGAAACTGTCACATGTTCTTATCTGTCGACTTTAGTCACTACATGCTCTTTAGGTAGTACCTACGTTGCTAAGACTCTTCAAAAATGTCGCCGAGTGTGTAACAGATCCTCCAGAAGTAGTGTATTTTTTGGAGGATCCAACATGTGTGCGGCAATACTCACATGTTTTTATTTGTTCACTTTAGTCGATACATATTCTTTAGGTAACCACCTATGTTTCTCAGACTCTTTAAAAACGTCGCAGGGTGAGTGTCAGATTCTTCAAAAGTAGTGCACTTTTGGAAAAATTTGACAGGTGCGACAACATTTGTTGTGATACATATTACATGTTCAATCCCCTTGCCTTCTTTGTTTGTTCACTTTTGCATATTTAAATCTCCTCAGCGAAAATCGTGGTTCTGCTACTGCCTGAACCTCCTGATATACTATTTTGTCGACTTTTATTTTAAAATCAACAGCTTGCAGAACCTAAAATACTTGCATTGTTTAGAAGTTCTCAATCAAAGTCGAAAAGAAGAAACTACTCTAAGATGACGTCTTTCATTGCTTTTTGCGATATTTGAATGAAAACAACGAAAATGTTCTTCGACAGCTTGCAGGAACAACTCTAGAGGAGAGACATGCTGCAGAACAAGCAACCAAAGTACATAGCAGCAAATCAACAGAAAATGAAGTGATGGCTGTTCAGAATTATGATCCATCTGGAGAGAAGGGAAAAGAAGTGGTGCTTGCAGGAACAACTCTAGAGGAGAGACATGCTGCAGAACAAGCAACCAAAGTACATAGCAGCAAATCAACAGAAAATGAAGTGATGGCTGTTCAGAATTATGATCCATCTGGAATGAAGGGAAAAGAAGTGGTGCTTGCAGGAGCAACTCTAGAGGAGAGACATGCTGCAGAACAAGCAACCAAAGATCATAGCAGTAAATCAACAGAAAATGAAGTGATGGCTGTTCAGAATTATGATCCATTTGGAAAAGAAGTGGTGCTTGCACGAACAACTCTAGAGGAGAGACATGCTGCAGAACAAACAACCAAAGAACATAGCAGTGAATCAACAGAAAATGAAGTGATGGCTGTTCAGAATTACGATCCATCTGGAATGAAGGGAAAAGAAGTGGTGCTTGCAGGAACAACTCTAGAGGAGAGACATGCTGCAGAACAAGCAACCAAAGAACACAGCAGTAAATCAACAGAAAATGAAGTGACGGCTGTTCAGAATTATGATCCATCTGGAATGAAGGGAAAAGAAGTGATGCATGCTGGAACTGTTCGTACTATAGGAGGCACACAACCCAGTCTATGGAATTCTATGATTGGTGAAAGAAGGGATCCACAAAGAAAGTTAATGGGTGGAGGTGAATACAACGGTGACAACGCCATCACGAGAACTCAACAACAACTGGCTGGAGCCAAAAGAAGTGGTGATTTTGCAGGCATTAGTTCAACTTCTCAGCTCCACTTTAGAAGGAGGAGCGAAACAAGTTTATTCGCACCACTCTTCCATGAGAATAACAATCTGAGGAATGCTCAAAATATGTTGGTAAGATCATATGACAGAACAAGTCAAGTGCCTTGGAATGTTCATAATGCTGAAGTTGTTTTTCCCATGGCATCTCTTACCCCATCTTCTCGTATGGCATGTATCGATAACATGTCACTGGTTCAACTCAAAGCCTTGGCAAGTCAACTCAATATAGTTGGTGTGTCCAAAACTCGAAAGGCTGACCTGCAACAACTGCTTCGCACTAAGCTGCAAGCTCAAGATTGGCCATGACAACAATCTCTCTGTTCTTTTAATTTTCAGTCTTATATGAAGTAAAGATAGGATGGTATCCGAATTATTTTGTGAAGGATAAAAGGAATTATAGAGCACAATGTGCTAAAGATAAAACGTAAACTATCAACTGAGCTGCAACAACTTCTTCTCTATATAACTGCTAAAAGATTGGTCATGATAGCAATTGTCTATTCTTTTTATTGCAGCTTATTATATGAAATATGTTTAGGAATGTTTTACCAGTTTCTTTAGTACAGGAAAACAAAGTCGGAGCTCGTCCAAGCTAGATCCATTCACTCTCAGCTCCCTGCAGAACAGGACATAGTGGCAATATCGACATAGCTGGTGTACTCGGTTACATGTGCATCAAATCGAAACAGATTGCCTGATGCATTTTTCACTGCATTTTGTAGCTCAACTTCATTATCATCATCAATGCTCAAAACTACATTTTCCTGGCATAGGAAGTTGAATTGAGGCGCAATATACAAAAGAACAGAATAAAAAACAATAAAAATAATGACTATATAAACTGACTCGAACACCAAAAAAACGAACCTTGCCAGTTCAAGTAAAAGCATTACCAAGAGAATCAAAAAATAAAAATAATAGGAACAAAGATGCCAAGATTAAATACTAAAGAAATCATGACAGAGCATATAAAAAGAAAAAAAATTGAACAGTAACTACAACAAAAATAATACGATAATCAATTACTACAAGAAACATTAACTAGTAATAGAAGAAACGACATGAGTAACACTACAGCTACTAATATAAAAGTTTTTAGCCTGATTGCTGATGCCGCTCATTTATCAACTTAACTTATTTTAATCTGTTTAAATTCAACTCAATCCGCGAATAACACGAAATGACATGAACAATACTATGACTACTAGTATGAAAGGAGTTAGCCTATTATTAACTTAACGTATTTTAATCTGTTCAAATTCAACTCAATCCGCCTATTTAACGTCCTAATCTACCTGCAAATACTCAACATGAGCATTTTGTGAGAGGATGTCAGCAAGAACTCTTTTTTTGACCTCATCAACATTGCTAGTCACCTCTTCAATAATCTCAAGGTCCTTTTTGTAATCATTTATGTTTTTTTTTCCATAATAAAGATGAAAATTTGGTAATATACATGTATCAAGTGGAGCTTTATATAGAGGAATTATTTGTAAATAGATAAAAAATATATATATAATGTATCTTGCCCAAAATTTATTCCTACTTACCTTTTTATATCAAGATAGATGCATGTTCATATCAAGTTATTAATAATATTGAATATTCACAAGATCAAAAACAAATCAAGCAACAAATTTCACTCAATCAAAAATTTCCATAAGAATAGCAATCAAGTCAAGTTAGGCAGTATAATAGTCGAGAGACGAATAAATACTAGGTAATTCTTCCTTTCTATTCTAGTCAAAATCGACAGTAATTTGATAATATCACTAATGAGAGCTAATTGATATCCCATCAAAAAATCAAATTAATAATGGTAAGTAATTCTCATATATCAAATCACTTGATTTTTGGGATGATATGAAATTCGATCACATGCTTAAGTTTAGAGTAGCATGATTGAAACTTCTAAAAACTAAAAAGTAGTTAGGTGTAAAACAATATTAAACTCATAAAAGGCTAATTTGACGAAATATTTTCATTAACTTAATCAATTTTTCGCCTCCTCGATAACAAGAGTACTCTATCAATTACATTTCTTAGCCGATTTGTGTTTAAAATCAGTGTTTTTGATCTACGAAATTATCAAAGTTTTAATCAAAATAGTGAATAATAGAAAAACATAAATTAATTCACAAAACTAAAACCTGCAAAAATATATCAGAATCGGTAAGAAATAAAACAAGAAGAAGATCAACAGACTTACTGAATGCACAATGTACCCTTAAGGATATTATTCCCCTCTAATATCCCATGATAGATGATCTCAATCAGTGTATTGATACCAAAAGTTGGTGTCAGCGACAATAAAGCACATAAAGAAACTTTGTACAGAAAAAGAAAAAAATTGAAGAATCATATTTATAGCCAAAGAGAGACAGAGATCTTCTTTCCAACCATTTTAACAATTAATAAAAGTGCTTTTTTATTTAAACACATCTATTTTTCTTCCATCTTACTCACCTAATTTTTTGGTCATAATTCTAAAGTCAAACTACAAATATCAACTTCTCGTGCGTGTCCACTTAGGTGCTTTTCTATCGTAGTCGAATTTATAGGGATATCGGTTAATAATAAATATTTATTTACTTCTTCACCCCTCCCTATGCAGACAATTACGATAATACCTTCTGCACTTTAAATTTCTTTTCTTAACTATTCTTCATTTTATTTATTTATTTATCTAAAGTATTATCCTTTTCGTTTCAAAATAATGATTTAACTTAATTTGACATGAAATGTAAAAAAATAAAATTAATATCTAATAGCGTGGACCTAAACTAAAACCATATAAAATATACCAAAAAAGAAATTAAATCATCTTTTCGAATTTCATATCTAACGTATCACTCTTTTCATATTAAATTTTACTTCAATATTGGATTTGACCACATACATCCATGTCGACTAAGAATAAATATGTCAACTCTACATAGAAGTTTTTTTAATTTATAAAAAAATAATTATTTAATAATTGAAATATTAAACACGCGAAAAAGATTAAAAAAAAAAAAACCAGTAGTAGTATTTTGTGTAGTCTTTGGATTTGCAAAATCCGCGGTAACTTAACTAAGAAGAGAAGTGGCAACCGCGTAAATAATACCTAATTCCAGGACCTTTCTACTTGGTAGTAATTTATATGATTTGTCTATTTATAAAACCACATACTTTTTTTTTATCTTTTTCTAATTTACAGAAATTTATCTTTTTAATTTTCTCTCTCTAGCTTTTCAAAAATGTCCGGTTACCCGCACAATGTTCCCGGCTACGGTTACGGCCAGCCACCGTCATCTCAGCCGTACTCCTCCACCCCATACGGTGCTCCACCGCCGTCTTCAGCTTCACCTTACGGTGCTCCACCACCGTCTTCAGCATCACCCTACGGTGCTTCACCATCACCTTACGGTGCTCCACCATCACCCTACGGTGCTCCACCTCCTCAATCTCACTCCCCTTACGCTCCCGTTCCGTCTCCCTACGGCGCCGGAGCACCGTCTTACGGTGATCCGCATAAACCCCCAAAAGAGAATAAACCACAGTCTTCATCCCCTTACGGTGGGGCAGGGGCTGGGTACCCTGCTCCACCTCCTTCGGCTCCGTACGGTGATCCGAACAAACCACCGAAGGATAGCCACTCACAACCGTCTGCTCCTTATGGTGGATACCACGCGCCACCTCCTGCTGGGCCTTATGGAGCTAGTAGCCCTTTTGCATCTCTTGTGCCGTCTGCTTTTCCACCGGGTACCGATCCGAATATTGTAGCTTGTTTCCAGCTCGCGGATCAGGATGGGAGTGGGTTAATTGATGATAAGGAGCTGCAGAAGGCGCTTTCTTCGTATAATCAGAGCTTCAGCTTGAGGACTGTTCATCTGCTTATGTATCTCTTCACCAATACCAACACTAGAAAAATCGGTAATAATCTTAATTCCAAATAATTGAGCTCAAAATTCACTTATGAAATGTTTCAGTGTTTGCCATGTATTGTAGAAAATGATCAGATCGATGATGAATTTCGTGCTGAAAATGTTAGGTTGTGTACAATTATTAATAACAACATGCAGTATACAGTTGATTTGTGACTGAGGGTGGTTGAAAAAGGTCATTTGGAGTAATCTTTCGTAATAAAGAAGTAATCTTGATCAAGACTTTAGGGGTTGCTTGGTATGAGGGACGAAGGGTAACAGTTATGTGATTATTTTATCATGCATTTGCTTAGGAGTATTAGTCAGTCCCACAGATAAATATATGGTCGGATAACTAATCCAGTGGGATATCCGAGGCATACCTTATACCAAACAACCCCTTATGGTTGTATTGGTGGGTCATCCTTAAGTGTATGTTGGCCAGGATGATATGACTTAAACAGGCCTATAAGACTTTGATATGGCCATTGAAATTCCTGTATGAATTGTTCTTTATGTCCTCGTCCAGGATTAGGTGGAAGTTATTGAGTTTGTTGTTCCTTGAGTTGATGACTGTGTGGCCATTTTATGTATTCTGAATTGGCGATGTAATGAATCAACGTCATCAGGGAAGAAAGGTGTGAAAAGACCCTGTTGGTCCATCAATGGGGGAATGTAGGGTGGGATTTCCATATAAAAAGAGAAATAACATTTTCTTAGCATGGAGATCTTACATAATGCAGATTGGACGTTCCTACTACTTATGGAAGTGGTGTTCTCAATTGAGCAATATCTAGCTTAATTTAACACTGTCTTGCACTATTAGTTCTCTTTGGAAGGAACAGAAGCAAGTCTTTGACAATGTGGTGATAGCGGCCGAACTTCCGTTTAGACTTCTCTCTTTTTTCCCCTCTCTTCCTTTCTCCTTCCTTTTTTGAAGTTAGAATCTCTTTAGACCATGTGTTGAGCCATTAGGGTGGCAAAACAACTACCTACATAAGATGCAACTTTGTATATTGATAATTCTACGCAGAAACTTTAGTTTTAGCATCTAGTAGTAAATGATTGTGTGCTAACATGTTCGCCAGACTTCCTTTTTGCTCTATGTTTTTTCAAGTGGAAAGATGAATGCAGAACTATTCCCTTTTTGTTCTATATATTTTTCATTCCAAATGTTATTGGTTTTTGAAGTTGATCAAGAGTATGGTTTAATGATGTTGATCGAATTTGAGTTGGAGATATACCTTAACGAAGCTTTGTTCTTTCAATGAGCCTATAGATCTTTCCCTCTTTCTTTTTCTGCCTGTTGATCTATTTTCTGCCCTGTAAGCAGGTCCCAAAGAATTCACTTCAGTGTTCTACAGTCTCCAAGAATGGAGGGTAAGTTAAAGAATCTTTTACGGTTAGCTTTGCACTTCTTTGTGTTTTCCGTTTTGCTTGGGAAAACAAATCTCCCTTTCTATGGAAGTTGATTGGAACTTCCTGTGTAATGCAGGGAATTTTCGAGAGATTTGATAGGGATAGGAGTGGAAAAATTGATTCATCTGAATTGAGGGACGCGTTACTTAGCCTGGGATATGCTGTATCACCTTCTATCCTGGAATTGCTGGTCTCCAAGTTTGATAAAACTGGTGGAAAGAGTAGAGCCATTGAATATGATAACTTCATTGAGTATGTTTCTGCATCAATGCAAATCTTTCTTCGTATATATCTTCTATTTTGTTCTATGCTTTGCTAACTTTGCCTTTTGTTCTTCCGTTTTATTTGCTTGATTCAGGTGCTGCCTCACCGTTAAAGTAAGCTTACAGTAACTTCGTATATTCTGGCATTCGTGTACCATTCCATTTTATCCAGCTAGGTGTTTTTTCTCACATACGCTCTCATTTCTTTTGCAGGGGCTAACTGAGAAGTTCAAGGAGAAGGATACTTCATATTCTGGCTCTGCTACGTTCACTTATGAGTCGTTCATGCTAACAGTTTTGCCTTTCCTGATTGCTTAGAGACGAGGCATATGAATTTCACAATTACGGGTGGTCTTACTATGATTTACCAGCTTCGTTTTCGTTTGTTTTCAGTAGAGAGATGTTTGCTTCTGTTAGTTTTTGTAAACAGTTTCCAGGGTGAAGTTGAATTACTTGCTTGTAGAAGTCTAGTGTGTTGTAGAGCAGTTAATGGGCTATCAAAACTAAATCCTTTGTGTTTCTTTTGATGTGTTTACTATTCGATCATGACTACTTTAAAGAGTATTTGGTTCGGCTTATTTTAGAAAATAAAATATAAACAAATCTATTTCAAGGAGCCCAAAAGTCTACTTTTATCTTTATTTTAAGGTTAATAAAGGGTTGTGCTTTATTCATATGGAGTTTATTTGGTATTGAATTACAAGACTTTTCAGAATAATGTAGCCCTATGAATTAAAAACAAGAACGACAAGAATGATAATACTATTAGACCTCTTATCAAATTTATGCATAGTGATCTTTAATGAAAATAATTTTTAGCGGGATAAAATATTGACATTAATAAAGAGTGTTAAAGTCACATGGGCATTAGATAAGTGTCATTAAAATTAATATCGTTAAAGACTTTAGGAACATATAACGATCATTAGTTGGAATATGCTCTGGTGTTTTTTTTAGCCATATTTTGCCACTTTGGTAATAAAATGCATTCAGTTGCCCAAAAAAATAATTTAAGATAAGTTGTTTATTCTTTTTACTATAGCATGTGAATATATGGAACTCATCTTTATTTTAAAACTACTCCTAGGAGTAGTATATAGAGTTCAAAAAATGATAATCGAATATTATAAAATTAACATATTCGAGTGAAATTGTTTTGATGAAGCACGTTCACAGGGTCAAACAAAGATGGTGATAGTTAGTAATGATAATCGTGAAGTGATGACTATAAGTGATTGATTATAATTGTTAAAAATGAAGGTAATAATTGACGATATTAGTAAAAAAATGACGTATATTGTTATTGAAGATGGTTAGTGACATAGTATAATAAATAATGGTTGAAGGAGGTTGCAATTAGAGATACTAAGATTATTCGATAGTAGAAATAATTTGATGGTCATCGTTCGATAGTGGATCGATTATAAAAATTAATAATTATTGATAATAGTTAGCGTAATATTTAACAATATTATTATGATAATACTTTTACCTTATTGTTTTTAGAAATCAACACTTTTGGATTTTTTTAAAAATTCAATCAAACAAATTATTTTCTATCGTAAAAATCAAAACCAAAACAAAAAAAAAAGAAAAAGAAAAAGTAGTTGTATTGAAGATGGGGTTAAAGGTAACAATATTTAAAACCCAAGGGGGAGTTTCAACATTATTTATTCCTTACAGCAAAAAAGACGAAACCCTAGAAATCTTTCTTCTACCGATCCACTTCTCATCTTTTCAGTTTCTCTGGTTCTGCACGGCGGCGAGTTTTGTGGTTGCTATCTCTTACCGACAGTAGCAATCATGGCGTCGAAGTACGATTTGACGCCACGTGTAGCGCAGCAATTGGACATTCACTTGATTTTCCCGTTACTGGAGTTTTTGCAAGAGCAGGGATTATACCCAGATGAATATATACTCAAGGCGAAGATTGAGCTGCTTAATCACACTAACATGGTTGATTATGCTATGGATATTCATAAGTCTCTCTATCATACTGACGATGTGCCTCAAGGTATCATTTAATTTTTTCGCTTCGTGTTTCCAATTGATTTTTTTGTTTATTAATCTTAATACTTGTGCTTTTTTTTTTTAGCAAAAGGGGTTTTTTTTTGGGGGGGTGGGGTTGTGAATTTTATGGATATTGTTTATACAAGTTGTCTATGTGCTGTTCCTCAAGGTTATCTCTTTCCCCCCTTTGTAGTAGTGAATACGCATTGATTTGTGTGTTGTGTGGGGTGGGGTTGTACGTCAAGGTTTCTCTTTCTTTCCCTTTGGTATGAATGCCCGTTGATTTGTGCCCTTACTGATCGAAATACCTTGTGCCCTTTTCAGCATGAAGGTTTTCGTGTGTGGTGTGGGGTTGTTAGTTTTAATGGATATGGTCTCTATAGAAGTTGTAGAAGTTGTCCTTCAGGTGTCTCCTGTTTCCCTTCATATTGGTGTATGTTTACATATTGGTCCACGTATTGGTGAATGCTTATTTATTTGTTGCTTCACTTAATGCTTTTGCACTTTTAACAAAAGGTGTTCTTTTTTGGGGTGGTGATATGGTGGTAGTTGTAATTTTGATGGTTCTGGTCTGTAGAAGTTGTTTAAAATTTATTCGAAGGGGATAATCTGTATAGTTGATGTATAAGAGTAAAAAAATCTGGTGACTTAGCAGTGCCCTTTTTAGCATAGAAGTTGTTTTCTTGTGGGGGTATTGTAATTCTGTTGGGGCAGTCTCCGTAGGTTTTCTTTGGAGTTGTCCCTTGAGGAATCTGTATAGTTGTGATCAGATAGAGATTTGATATGGGAGGCAATTTTGACGTTGTTGTCTGGATTTTCTGTTTGAGCTTTACAGTAAATGCATGCAATGTATGTAGATTAAAACCTTCTTGGTGTACTTAGATAAGATAAACTGTTGGTACACATACGTGTCGGTACAGAGTCTAACCATTTGCGACTTGCCCTCAGGGATTCCTCTGTTATTAAAAAAGTTTAGTTTGAGCAGAAGTGATTTTGGGAGTTCCTTTACATGTTTAAATTCTGCACTGTCTTTATAATTGCCGTTTGATTGTTCAGAAATGATGGAGAGGAGAGCCGAGGTTGTGGCAAGGTTGAAAGCACTTGAGGAAGCTGCAGCCCCATTGATCACTTTTTTGCAGAATTCCAGTGCTGTGCAGGAGTTGAGAGCTGACAAACAGCACAATCTTCAGTTGCTCCAGGAGCGGTACCAGGTGCATAGATCTAGTTTGATTTACATGATATAGAGTTCCTTCTTCTTTAGTACTTAATGTTGTATAATTAATAATATACTTGTTAAAGGGATCACAAACAGAAGTTGGTCTCTAGCTAATTTTGTGAATATACATTTTTTATTTTAGTAATGCTCTTACAAACCTGTCCAGATTGGTCCGGACCAGATAGAGGCATTGTATCAATATGCCAAATTTCAGTTTGAATGTGGAAACTATTCTGGTGCTGCTGATTATCTTTACCAGTACCGAGCATTGTGCACAAACAGTGACAGGAGCGTCAGTGCATTGTGGGGAAAGCTTGCAGCGGAGATACTAATGCAGAATTGGGATATTGCACTCGAGGAACTCAACCGCTTGAAAGAAATTATCGACTCAAAGGTAATATTTTGCATATATTGAGTCAACAATCTGTCTGTTTGAGTTAGTCTTACCAAGTTGAGTATCCTGTAGGAAAAAACTGAATGATCCTCAGTTTACCAAGTGTACTAAAAGTGTCGCTTGTCTTGCAGAGTTTCTCTACTCCGTTGAATCAAGTTCAGAATAGAATATGGCTAATGCATTGGAGTCTATTCATCTTCTTCAACCATGACAATGGCAGGACACTGATCATTGACCTGTTTAACCAGGACAAGTATGCCAACTGTACTTTAGTTGCTATTGCTTATAGATGATTGTTTTCATTTGCTGCTTCATTTTAGATTTCCCCATCCTGTTTGAGCTAGGCATTTTTTCTGATACTATCACCTACCGAGTATGATGTAGAGAAATATTTTAGGAAGCTCCGATTACCTAGTTCTTTCCCTTAGTGGGAAAATGGAGAAAACTAGATGAATTAGAATGAAACATGATCTGGAGGGTCAGGAACACACTGTATTTCTTATTTGCATACAGCAGAATTATGTTTGAAATATAGTTTTCTTATTCCAAAATGTTTGAAATAAATATTGCTCTTCTTTTGTGGTAACATACATTAAGACAGTATTCTTCTTGATATGTCTCGATTAAAGTAGCTGTTATTTTTCCTTTTGTTGGTATTCTATGGATTTACATCTTCCCTTTGAGCTTTTCTAAATCATTGAAGTCTTGCAGATACTTGAATGCCATTCAAACAAGTGCTCCCCACTTGCTGCGGTACTTGGCTATTGCATTTATTGTCAACAAAAGAAGAAGACCTCAATTTAAGGACTTTATAAAGGTTATTCAGCAGGAGCAACACTCTTGTAAAGATCCCATCACAGAGTTTTTGGCATGTATTTACGTCGACTATGATTTTGATGGGGCACAGGAGAAGATGAAGGAGTGCGAAGAGGTAAGCTTTTGTGCGTAGCTTATCCGCTTTGATGCATGGTCACATCATAGTTGTATGATTCATTTCTTGCATATCAGAAGTAGAAACTGAACTTTTCTTTAAATAAGTTGTAATTGACTTTAAGATGATATGATATATGAAGTGAAGATTGTATTTTGGAAGTATAAGCGCAGGACTCTTTGCAAATATATGCAAGTTTTGTAGACTTTGGACATGCTAGTTTCTGATACTCGAAGCCAAGTATCTTTAGTATAGCCACTGAGCTCTTCCCGTCAGTGCAGCTCTTTTTACTCATTTTAACATGGAGGCTATATGCAGCTAATATTGAATGACCCATTCCTTGGAAAAAGAGCTGAAGAGGGCAGTTTCTCCTCTGTGCCATTGAGAGATGAATTCCTTGAAAATGCTCGTCTTTTTATCTCTGAGACCTACTGCCGCATTCACCAACGCATTGACATGGGGTATGTAGCTAATTCTTCAAAGTTACTTTCTAAATCTATTTTGGGGTTCCTTCCCACTCCCCTTGCCCATAGTTTTTTGTAATATTAGGTATACCCCTTTTGTTTGTTACCTGTTGAGAGGGCTTAAGAAAGCAGAGTTGTGCCCATTTAATAACCATTTTCTTTCATTTCATAAATGTCAGGGTTCTAGCTGAGAAGCTTAACTTGAACCTTGAGGAGGCAGAGCGATGGATGGTGAATCTTATCAGGACCTCAAAGCTTGATGCCAAGATAGACACTGAAACCGGGACAGTTACAATGGAACCAAATCAGCCTAATGTGTAAGTTTATATACAGATGTACCTTATCGAAATGTTCAATGCGTTGACCCATTTTAGCATACACCTGATGTTTATGAGCATTGTCATGTTCAGGTACGAGCAGCTCATCGATCACACCAAGCCCCTTTCTGGACGCACGTACAAATTAGTCAGTCAGCTTCTTGAACATGCACAAACACAACTTGCTAGATAGTTTGGTTGAGGACATTAAGCTCGTGCCAATTTTGCATTGCTCCCGTACCTGATTAACACCTTTATATTCAAGAATGTTGCTTATGTTAATTCCTGGATTTCCCTTGGAGGAAATTTTGAGATACATGATGAATTATACATTAGTTTCTTTTTTATCTTGTGTTGTCTCCATTGGAAGTGGTATGCCTTTGCATTTTAGTACTCGTTTTTGCCATGAAAAAATTTGTTTTAGCTGGAATTTGCCAGGGCATTTTGTTTCATATGATGCTTTACTCTTCGCTCGTGATCACTTAGAGCCCTCTGTTCATCAATAGGTACATAATAAATCTAGTGTCCATTACAAGGCGATGTCAATGCATTATTTTTGGTTAAATATTTTGGAAAATCAATTCATCTATAGATGACAAATTCAAAAAATGAAGTTTATAAGTGACGTTTCATATTTATCGTCTTCCTACCCTCCAATACATCTCATCTTCAAGTTGGATAGCATTTATATGATACGATTTGCTCGTCTACCGGGATAGGGGAAAGGAAAATGTACAATTGTTTATCGAAATTCTTCACCTAATAACCAGATTTTCATAACATATAGGGATGACAATGGGATGTGATGGAACTTAAAACCTCAAAAATTTTTAACCCGCCCCGTCCCACTCAAGAATGTACATTTGTGATCATTCATGTTCACAGTCTGCCGTCCTTCTGAAAATCCTCTGTCCTGGAGCAAGTATAGCCAAAGGGTCATATGTAGATTTCCTCCTAGCAAATGTATCCCAATGAGGACCAAAATGATGCTTCCACTCTTCCTGAGTCTTGTGATTTGGCAAATATTGTTTCATTCCAATACGCGTTTTTTCACAAAAACTCAGTATTCTGTTGTTTTGATCTATGATGTGTTCTAGTCCATCTTTTCCTGTTGAAAAAGGCATAGCAGATGACAGGAACGCGATGAGGTAGAAAACATCTTCATCAGGTGTAACCATTGATGTTCCTTTTCTCCACCTGAAACATAGATCATTCAAGATATATATAACTGTTAGGAAAACGCGTATCATTAAGAGATTTGTAAGTTGTGAAGAATCAAGAATGTAGTACTTTGATTTGTTGACAGGGTAGATGAGTAGAGGACCATTGCTTGTATCAGTAAGAATCTTTCCGAAAACTTCTTGAGCAAATTCAAGAATCCTGCTTTTTGGTATTAGAAGATTTAGCCATGGATGAGGAACATCCCATAACCCCTTCTCTTGTAGCTTCATCTCGGAGACATGAACTCTATCGAGGAACTCAACGTAGGAGACTTCTGATAGAAACAACGTTGATCGGATATAACTCAACTTTGATAAGAGTATATCAATGTCCTGTAGTAATTATTTAGGAAACAAGGTCAATATTTTACTGGAGTTATCCGAAACCTGGAAAAGTTAACTGATTTTGATGTGTTTTTTTTACCTGATCAGTACTATATGTGTCCTCTGGATTGAAGTATTTCGCAACTTCTAAACAGAATAAAACTCTGCCTTCTGAACTAAAATTACTAGCTTGAAGTGGATCTTTAGGATTGAAAGTAGACCTCCAGTTATTCAATAATCCAGTGCTGTTTATAATGACGAATCCTTCGATATAGTCAAATGTACTCTGAGATGATATCAAGTCCTCTTGATCATTCGAAAATGCAGCAAAATCTGAATACAATACTCTGATCCACTTGACCTGTCAAGTAAATAGTTACAGCAATGCTGAATGAGCTTGCTTTTCTTTTCATAGGGTCCTCAAAGTTGGCACCAGTTTTCATTTCGACACTTTAACTGAGGTTAGTACCTATCGAGCACTCACAACCTTAGATAAAGTCACAGAAAGGGATGAGGTTGGAGCGTTTGATAGGTAGTGAAATTAGTTGATATGTCAAAATGAAAACTGGAGCCAAATTCTATTGACGGTGCCTCAGAGTTGGCACCAGTTTTCATTTCGATTAAGGTCAGTACATAGTGAGCGCTCCAACCTCAGAAAGTTAGAAGAAGGTTGAGGTTGGAGTGTTCGATAGGTACTGGCCTTAGTTGAAGGCGTTGAAATGAAAACTGGAGCCAACTTTGGCGAATCGTCTATATATGTATTTTTGGCCTAAAGTAATGTTACTTCTTTGGGTTTTAGAGTTCAATGTCTACCTGCTTTGGTGCTGTTTCAAGAGCAATTCTTGCCTTAGTTATAATACCAAACTGCCCTAATCCTCCTAGTACACCATGGAACAAGTCTGCATTCTGCTCCTCTGAACAAGTAATCACCTCTCCTTTACCTACAACAAGATAGATATCAAAGGTGACAAGCAACGACCAATCCTGAAAGACGCATTTTTTTCGTCTTAGGATGTCTAACCGTTCACCAATCATACGGGGGGAGGCAGGACACACAAATTAGCTAGAAATCTAAATTAGTTTATAAGCACACCAGACGCGTAGATAAGCCAAAAGAGGTGTCTATAAGCTAGTTTGATCGACTTATAAGCTTATCCAAACGTTTGTTCACGAACATACCAGTGACAACCTCGAGTTGGTAGACGTTATTGATCTGCGGTCCGTGCTTAAAAGCTTGTCCACTGATTCCAGCATTAGACAAAGTACCACCAACAGTGAGGTGAAGATAATCAGTCCAAGATTTAGGTGCAAGCCCAAGTTTAAGACTTTCATGCAGAACATTTATCCAAAGCTCTCCAGCAGAAACATCAACATAAGACAATTCCTCATTAATCTTGAACTTCATTTCTAGTTCTTGAAGTGATTTCATATTAATAACTAGTCCTTGATAAGCTTGAGCTTGGCCTTCTAAAGAGTGTCCATTGCCTCTAGCAGCAACAGTTAAGTCTATTCTAGTACGGATTTCGAAGACATGTTTTAAGGTGGATGATATATCAAGAACTGATTTTGGATACAAAATTGCTAATGGAAGGAAATGACATCTATTGCCAAAGTCTTTAGCTGCATGATTTAGTTTTTCAAAACTAAGGTACCCTTCAAGTTTTAGTTGTTTCAATGATAGACTTGAAGGGTTTGCAAAATGATGATTACAACATATGTTACTTCTATTGTTTGAACAAATGAAGAGTATGAATATAAGCAACTTTAGAAGTATATGCTTTTGAATAAAGAAAAATTGGGTTGGTGACTTCATTTTTCCAATATATGTATTGAGAAAAAAAAATGTTTTTGCCCTTTTTTTGATAGTATAGAGAGTTGTTTGAGTGGATTAAGAAATAAAGTGGTGAAGAGAATATATTAGGGGAATATTTGAGATGTCATTGTCAATGTTGGGCACTTGTGGTCAAGTATTATCATGTTTTTATTGTTTGGAAATGGAAATGTATGATCATATTATTGGCTCAAATTTTCTTGATTGAAGAGGAAAGTTTCACCTATTGTTATGAGTTAGATTTGAGATTGAGTTAGGCTCAATGTCGATGTTTCTTATACGTGTTCTTGATTTATCTGATATTTGGGCCCACTCTTTAGATGTCGGGGCTGAGAGTGTCAAATTGTCCTACATTGGTCGAGGCATTGAGGTATTGTCACATTGTATGACCTTCTGTGATTTTCACCTCATAAGCTATCTAGTCTTTGGGTCGGGGTTGATTTAATTAACACGTGTAATATATTAGTACTTCACACTATATCAAGCGTTGGGTGTGCGTGGCCGAGAATGTTAGATTGTCTTATATTGGTTGAGGTAGTAATTAAGCTATTGTCTCCTTATATGGCCTTGTCCAGTACTCGCCCTATGAGTTATCACTATATCAAGAGTTGGGTGTGTGGGGCTGAGAGTGTTAGATTGTCCTATATTGATTGAGCTGGTAAGTTGTTGTCTCCTTACATGCCCTTGTGCAGTACTCGCCCTATGAGTTATCACTATATCAAGAGTTGGATGTGTGGGGCTGAGAGTGTTAGATTGTCCTATATTGATTGAGCTGGTAAGCTAATGTCTCCTTATACTACAGAAAATGGTTTTTAGCGGCAATTAATTAATGACAATATCTCAATTACAGCTAAATATGTATTTTAAGGAGTATTTAGTAGTCTTTGTCTAAAGTCTTTAGCAACATTAGATCGAATGACACTTACCTAATGCTGGTAAGACTTTAGCACTCTTTATTAATATGTCAATTTATTGCCGGTAAAAGTTAATTTTGTTGTAGTGTTATATGACCTTGTGCAGTACCCGCACTATGAGTTATCACTATATCAAGAGTTGGATGTGCGGGGCCGAGAGTGTTAGATTGTCCTATATTGGTTGAGGTGGTAAGCTATTCTCTCCTTATATGGCCTTGTGCAGTACTCGCCCTATGAGTTATCACTATATCAAAAGTTGGGTGTGTGGGTCCGAGAGTGTTACACTGTCCTACATAACATCGGTTCATATATTGAACTGTTATCTTCTTATATGACCTTGCACAAATCACGCTTCATAAGCTAACCTAGTCTTTAGGGTTGATTTTTAACACCTATTATTAGCACAAGCACCGAATCTATGGGGCCGAGAGTGTTCAGTTCTCTCTTTATATGGACTTGCACAATACTCGACTCATGAGCTACCTAGTTCATAGGGTCAATTTGACCTCTATTATTTGTACTTTCCATTGTATCAACTACAATTTAACAGTTTACTGTCTTATTTCTCTTTTGAGCAAATTGAAATTATATCTGCAAGTAAGAATCTTTCCATATTAGGTGATGATATGACAACATTTCATTTATAGAAAAGTCATTTCTACATGAAATTGATAAGTTATATTTTACATTATGTTCAATGAATCATGCTATACATCATAGACACATATATTATTGCAACAATTATTTGCTCATTCTCAACTTACTAGATCTAAAATTTTGAAATTTCTCTTCACATGGATGTGTACTACTGTTTAATATATTGTGTCATCTTCAAAATGACCTTTTTTTTTTTTTAATATATAGTCATTCATCCACTAGTACTATGTCAGATATATAGGGATGTTTGATGGATTTTAGTGGTTATTTGAGAGCCTAAAAATGGGGAGGCCCCTACTAAGTTCATTTTGATGTTAGAGTTATGTGTAGTGGTGGTCCTGATTTTGTCATTCCGTAAAAAGACAGTTCGATGTATTAAGTTTTTTTATCCAAAAAAAGGGTCTATTTGTAAGTAGTGTACCCTGTATTTCCGTAGAAAACTGTTTTCATAATTCGAACTCATAATCTCCTAATCATATGACAACGACAATTAATTTTATCAGTTACGCTAAGACTCCGTCCTTTGATCTTTGTCATTATGTAAGAAGCATAAACAAGGTTTTTAGATATAATGGATTTAAACATTAATATAATTATGATTTCTAGGAAAACATTAAAATGGATTTGACCATTAGTATATATTGTGACTTCCAATAGATTATTCTTAACAAAACCATAGTTTATCTAATTATTAGGATGTTATGATTATTTTCTTTGAATATGCATGTTATTTTAGTTTTCAAGTCCTTCAAGCATTGATCATTATATGAAATTTATTGGCATAACTAATCTAAATGCACAGTATTTGAAATTAATTGACCATCTAATATTTAAATTGAATTTACGATATTGAAAGATATATATAACTAGCTTTTCTTAATATATTATTTTTAGACTCGAATCTAATGAGATCTCTGATTAGTCAATTTGAACTAGATATTTAGTGAACGTACCCGTCCAAACTTAAACGGATTGGACATGTGGACTAATTTTGTCAGCCTTATGCATACAAGGTTAAAGAGTAACCTGTGTTATTACTGTTTATGTAGGGGTCAGGCACCATAAGGAAGCATTGCAATTTGCTTGAAATAGACTAATGGTATGTTCAAAAATAACAATCAATTTCATAAGTATAAATTAATGACCATAAAACAATATACCAGGATACCAAACGGAAAAAATTGAATACACAGTGTTCCCTTAAGAAAATTATTTTCCTCTAATACCCGAGATTTAAAGTAATCGATCCTCCTAGGATGGAACGATTCCGTTCGCAAGTGTACTTATACAAAAAATAATGGTGTTAGTGAGGAACTTAACGTTAGCAAAGTACACAAACATTTAATTGTGAAGAAGAAGAAGTTCAAAATTTTTAATTGTTTTAAAATGAGAGGAAAGTTCTCTATTTATATTCAACAAAGAGTAATGCGAACAAATGTTTATTATGTCTTATCAGAAATATCACAACTCTTTTGAAAAGTTACAACCCTTCGAAAATGTATTTTTCATAAAAATCGCAACTCTTTCATAATAGTCACATTTCTCTAACCTTTCGGATACTAAAAAGAAAATGTAATCACTTGTTATGTCATGTAGCACAGAAGAGATGTATTTAAGCTTAGTTCGTCAAGTACATATGAGTGTTTTCAAGTCTCCTAATCTGTATCAAACTTAAAAATATTTTTAATATTTCTCTTTTTGTTTAATTAATTCCAATCAATTTTTATTTAAATCATAAAAATTATAATTGTATGTTCTTGACTATCTACCTAAGTTGAATTTCACAATTTTTTTCAAAGAGCTATATAAGTAGCCTACAAACTAGACAAGCAACACATTCCATCATTTAGAACTAAAAGGTCCAACTACCACAATTTACACTTATCACTTAATAAATTCTACTCTCTCTATTGCGATTTTTGTCGTACATTCAAATTTTGAAATTTAAATAAATTTATTTTTTTTATATTTTTTAAATATAAATTATTGTAATTTATAGTTTTTGACATAATTTATAAAAATAAAATATTATTTTCAATAGTTTGAAATTTTATACATAAATTTTCGATCAAATTTTAATTGTTTGACTTTTTTAAAAGAATATGTTACATAAATTGAAACTGAAAAAGTAACCGTTGTTAGTGGAAGCTCAACTTGTACGTATTGGGGAAATATATTATATATAGTTTCTTTGTTTTAATTTTTTCATATTTTGAATAGATCAAATTGTATAAGATGAACAAGGTTCACTATTGTTTTAAAATTCAAAAGTAATCGCAAAATTAGGATTTCGAGGATAAAAAAAAATTGAAAATGCAAATACATGAAAAACAAATTAAAATGAAGAATTCAATATCCATATACTATATGTACATTAAACATAATTTAAACTATATATAACTAATATATATTTTCTCGAAAGAAACTCAATTAAACCTATGTGACAACAACCCAAAAGAAATAGTCAGACTAAATTTGTATGAATTTGGCAAATGGCCTCAATGATGTAATGGTCTCATGTTGTGGTTATATCTGTCGAAACGAAGTTAAGATTTTGAGTTTAGAAATGTTAAATTCTAAAAAGGTAAAATTATTAGATTCATAATAAATTAGCCATACATATTAAGTGAATTTGTTGAACGTTAATATAAAATCAGCATCAAAGCTATTCGAATTTTACTAAATTTTATAATTAGCATGCTAGTTCCGCACTTGACTATAAGACAAACACCCAAAGTTATGATAATTGTTATATTTTTCTCTAGAGACAAGATAATTACATATGTGACATTTTCAGTATAAATCGTCATCTAAAATCCATCACACTCTAAATGGAATAATATTAATAGACTCTTTTATCTTTTTTGGCCTAGATCCTATATATGTATGTTAAAGAAATTTAATTAGTAAATATATAAAAATGTTAAATTTCAAATCAACTTAATTAAGTGCACTTGATGTCACTACCAAAAATTTTAAATCTACATAAATTTAAATCTTCAATTTATCTCAACTTAAAAGGAAGATTGTTTACCTGTCAAATCAGATCGGAGTGAGCCAAAAAAATATTTTGTAAAAAAAAACTAAGTGTCGATAATAGAATTGTGTGTAACAAATTTTAAAGTGATTAAAAATAAATTGCAATCATAAAAAAATGATGAAACACGGATATTCTATCGATAAATTGTGCTTTTCGTACGCGTAAGAGGCTACATCTTGATTTCTTGATAAATATCGCATGAATTTATAGAATTTTCAAGATATTTCTTCAAGGAAATATATATTACCTCATAGATACGTATTTGAGTTTAGGATAAAGTAGCATCCAAAGACCCTAACTGAAATAGAACTCATCTTATAGAGTGTTACAAAATTTTGATATCTATAAAACTAATATTCATTGGGATATGC